GCTTTCAAAAGATCGCACCAGCTTCGTCCAAAGGTAGGAAGCAACCTTTTGCCCGCATAAGGTCAGCCGAACCAGCATACCCAAAATGGCATTTGCGGAGAGGAGTCTCTTGCGGGACGGAGTGAAAAGCAAAACAAACCGCAACCATAACTCGGTTTGCTTTCTGATCCCATGCTAAAGGTTTAACTTTTAGTTGATTCATGGAAAGCCCAGTAGTTGCCAAAAAGTTAAAGCCCTAACATCCGAGCAACATGCGCCAAAGATAATGTTGACCCCAGATTCATCAACCCCAGTGTATTAATATGGGAGTGGGGGGCTCTCCAAAAATCCAAACTAAACCCACGGACACCCCCTATTAATGAGCTGTTTTTTTCATCCGGTATCAACATTGGTAGGTGCACCTTGCGTGTGAGCGTGGACCCCATGCAGGCTAGCACCTCCCCCATTAAAGTTACCTTTAACCGAAGCTGCCAACCGCATCAAGAATTAAACAGATTCCAAGATTAGGTTGGTTCAAAAGGCAAAAAGCTGTTTCCCTTTCGCTCCAAGTGACTAAAGTTCGAAACGAAACTCATGGAGTGAGGACATCGACCGGCCTTGCGGGGACCTTTCGATACCCACATCCTTCTGAACTCAAAGAACCACTCCGAGAAGATGAATCTGAAGTTGACATCAAAAACGCAAACGCAAACGCAAACGCAAACGCACGCACCCACACACACACACACGCCTTTTTCGGGGGCTTTTACAGAAAACAAAATGACATCAACCGCTTTCCTCTGTTGAGACAACCCGGCATTCCGCTTGAAAACCGTCGATACTGCATTTGTGGTCTTCCACGAGCCGCGCCTTCCATCTCTGTGTCCTCAGCAGGTGGGAAGCAGATGCCCTTTGCATGTCAACTTAAGCCACCAGTGAAGCCTACGGGAAGACGCTCACTTCCAGCACTTCCAATGAAGCCCTGTCATATGCTGGGGCAAGGGGGGCCCTCGTTACTTGCCGCCGTTGATCGTGGTTCTGGATGAGCTTGGTTCGCTTGCAAGCTCTGGACGCAGTGGTAAGCGACGAATCAATGCCCCTCTACCGAAAGTGGACGCGATTGGACATCTAACCTAGGTGATCCAGTAATTAGAGAGGCTGGAACAAGGGTACCCTGTTTTCTGTAGTCTATTTTACTAGGGGAACCCTCCCCCAAAAATTTTGCTACAGGGGCACTACTGGGGGACCTAGTAACATTTCCACGTGTGAGAAGAGCAGCCACATAGATGTCCGCTGGCTGGAGGGCAACCCCACAACTCGAACAATCCGATCGGCCCAGTCCTGAGCTCCACAGGCAGCCCAGCTGTCGAGGACCTGGATCCAACACACGTCTGGCTTGGGTGGAGTCTTTCCCGGCCAAGCAAACTTCGACGCGTTTTTAATGTCTTGGTCCGAGCCTAGTTGCAACTCCCGTGGAAAAAACAAATGAAGTCCATCGACACCTTGCTATGCCGGAAAACACACCAACATAATCACTTCCTGACTGGATGGGCCAGAAAGGTCTATGTGTTGTTGGTTGATATACCTCTGCACTGGTATTTACAAAAAGCAAAGTCCATCAACTCAGGGAGTGAGGAAAGGTCGCCCTGCATGAAGCTTTGGTTGGGACCCATCCAAAGCCTAGGCCTGTGCGGGTTGCCCATCACACCTCACATGGATCTGCATCTTTGCTATATATTTAGGAAGCTGAATTAAGAATTGGATCCTCAAGTAAAGGATCTTTGTCATGGCTTTCGCTCGTTTTCCTTCAAATAGGATGGATCGCAGCCCAGGAATGCTGCGACCGTCGACCGCCGCGCAGTAAATCCAGCGAGCGCCTGCTCTAGCTTGCTTGCCCCAAGCAGACCCCGGTGGTCCTGCGGGCTTTGGGCCATCTGAACGACGAATCATCAACTGGGCTGTCCGTTGTCTGATCCGTTGCTAAAAGCCTAAAACTGTTTAGTCTTTTTAGTGGGTTACATTCGGAAACTACCGCTAAACCAACTAAAAAGATCTAAAAAGGGAAGGGACCGGATGACAGGAAGCCAGCTCCGATTCCGGGATTCGACTACCTTCAAGTCCAAAAGCCGACCACCCCCCTAAATACGCTGGAGAGGCCCCATTCCTTGCGGAATCCGGGCACTGTTTCAGGATCCAAGCCGCCCCCCTGACTTTTGGCGGGTTAGACTCAAGCCACCGAGTCCGGCTTCTGAGAACCCCCGGATTCGTCCAAGAGACGACCAAAATTCCTCAGCTGGAGCTGTGCCGGCGAGGGCTCGAGGACCCGGATTCCGATGCCTTTCGAACATCTCGCTCCAACATGGAAGTGCCAACGTCCAGGAAGCACCACCCTTCAACAAGAGACTCCGGTCTTTGTAGCACAAGCCCATGGGCGTTTCGTTCGTTTTGCATTTGGGCGTGCAATGCACAGTGTTCCCGTTGCACCGCTCCATGGGCACCTTGCATCGCCCCTTCAAACATGTGAGCTTCAGCGCGTGGTTCTATCGAGCAAGGCGGACCTTTCCACGTCAAGTCCGGATTGTTCAACCTGCTGCATGGATTGGATAGAAAGCTGGGGATTCCCTCTTAAATATTAACCAGTTGTGCCTTTTGACACCCTTTGTGTGCGTTGTTGCCAGGAAAGCCCGAAGGAAACCCCAATCAAAACCAACACGTGGCCTGAGAAGGCTCCCATTGCCCTGCTGTCCTCATCTGCAGCAACAAAGATGCGCCAAAGGGCCGCATCCTCAGGGAGGAAGCACGGAAGCATGTGCAGGCAGCAGCCAGCATATACCCTCACTGCACATTCAGTTGGAACCCCAAAACAGGGGTGGTGGCTCTCTCAATGGGAGCTTCCTCTAGGAATGAGCCTGCCGAGTCATATCAGGCTGCAGTGGAGTAGCCAGTTGCATCAAAACTACCTGGGAGCAGGGGTTGACCTTGCGGAGCCTTGACGAATTGAATTTGACGCTGGATGTATCCAACCTGCGGGGATCCTCTAAACCAGCTGATAAAGACTAATGTGTTAACAGGTGAGTTGAGAACAGGTGAGTTATTCACCGGTGCTTAAGTAAGGCTCCTAGAAACACCTAAATATATGTCTAGCAGTAATAGTTTCCCTTTCAACTTCACGGGGGGGGGGGGGGGACAACTTCAGCAAATGAAAGTGCAGGAGCCCTGGCAAATTGGCAAGCGATGGTTTTCACCCGCCGAGGGTGCTGCTACTTGGTCTTCCGCCAGCTCCATGCAGCCTCAGTGGATGCTGATGGCTTCGTGCAAGGGATTGGGAACCATCTGAATCGAGTACCAAAAATATATTTGCCTCATCCGACCCAGAACGTGAGTGGCGGGGACTAAGAAACTGGGAAACCAAACAGTCAAAGGTCGGCTTTGGAACTGAGGAGGTGATCGCCTTTTGGGTTGCCACCAAACATAGGAACCCGTAAGGTTAAAGGGGCGGACAGTGGACGCTCCAAATATTTCCATACAAACTACATCCAACCACCAAACGCGGAAAACGTCTGCGACTTACAGTGCTTGCTCTCTCCTCCTACTTCCGGATCAGCAAAGGCAAGCTGTGCCCGACCCGTGAAATCTCTTCTTTACAGCTTTGCACATCCGCTAGAAGGAATCTTCTTCCGAAGAATCTCCTTTTGGGGCACCTTTCTCTCACTTCCTACGTGGAATGCCAAAAACGGCAACATGTCAAAACCCTGGAAAAATGACTAAAACCCAGCAACTCGGGAAATCTTCCTTTAAGCCCGCTGGAAGAAATAGACATATTTCCAGCAGTGATCACTTCCCTTGAAAACCGACAAGGGAAAATGCGAAACATATTCATTTGATGAGCCGCTGGTGAATATGACATCTGCCTCAGCTTTCCGAGACTCTGAGACTCTGAGACTCTGAGGCACCAGGCGCCTCACGAAGCTACCGTGCGCCACGGTGCCCAAGCCGTCCAGATCGAAAGTGCTCCTCCGCGGAATGTTGACTCCGTCCCTGATAATTTGCAGCCTACCAGATAATGTTGACCCCGCACTACTAAACCCCTGTTTATTGATAGGGGGGTGTCCCCGGTTTTAGTGGGGAATCATCACTTTTGGAGGGGAGGCCACCTGCCTATAAATAAACTGGGGTTGAAAATCACATCGGCCAGAAAGGAAGGCAAACCGGGAAAGGGGCTACAAAGCATGAAATTTTGAGGGGGTTCCATATATGATTTTGCAGGAGTGCAATTTCAGACCATTTGGTTAAGGGTTTCTTGGTACTCCACGTTTACCGGGGATATTAACCAAGTGCCCAAATGCGAAGGGTCATGGGACTGTTTGGGGCACCCCCCTCCCCAAAAACAACATAAACGCAAGATGTACCACCACATGATTTGTTGCAATGAGCGGACTATCTCGCGGGTCTGCTGATTGTTGATTTGGATTGGTGCTTTGGAGCTTCGGGTGCAGCTTCCTCAACAAGAACCAGGGCTTTAAACCCCCACAAAAAACCGGCAGTTGAGGCTTACCAGAAGCTCTCCGTGCTATCAAAAGCTCTCCGTAACTAATCCCTTTCTAGGCGGCCGGCGTGATCCTTTCCACGCTGTGCACCTAGGCACAGGGCAGCGGGACATGGAAGACTGGGCTCCTGGACGACCATTCCAGGGGTAGATTCCTTTTCCATTCTGTTCAACCATTGTTCTGTTCAAAAACCTGCCGTTTTCCCTGGGTTTCTTGAGGTTTTCTGGAAAGAGGGATCCCTGGAAAGAATGGGGAAGGTACCCCTAGAACCATTGTAACCCCGTGTGGGTTCCATGTTATTGATATGGGTGTTTTTGCTTTTCTTCTTGTGGCGCCAAAACTACCCTGGGCACATGTGGCCCATGTGTTCAGATTCTGCTTCAAGTTTCGCCTATCCTAAAATGTCGAAACAAATTGGAGCATAGCTCGCAGGGCTGACTCCGAAGTTGGTTCGCGCAAACGGAGAACCGGCTGATGAGAAGAGCCATTTCCTGATGGTTTCTCCCCTTGAAATTCCAACCTGTCAAGGGTAGACACATCCATCAACGGGAAAAAAGGGCGCAATCTGAAATCTTGTTGATTTTGGTGGCTTCCTCAACTCCCACAGAAATTCGTTCCGGAGCCCCTCTGCCACGGGGGGGGGGGGGGGTTGTGGGAAACACATCCCGCAGGGCCCCTCGATATTCAAGACAAACACGTGGGCCCGGACACACCAACATCAAACACAACCACAACCACAGCCACAGCCACAGCCACAACCACAACCACAGCCACAGTCACAGCCACAGCCACAAACCCAAACCAAGCCCAAGCCCAAGCACAAGCACAAGCACAAGCACAAAAACAAGCACAAGCACAAGCACAAGCACAAACACCCACACACACACACACACTCCCTTCCGCGAACCCAAGCGAGAAAAACGGGTTCTCCGCACAGGTCCCGCGAAACAGTGTTCAAGTTCCAGTCAGAATTCGCGGAGGTGTTCGGGATATGGCCCAAAGTTCTGGCGAGATCACGGGTTCGCGTGCGCATTTGTGTCTCTCCTTGTGGTTCTAAAAACGTCACTTTTTGGGCGCCAGTCAACTCCAGCTTCCTCTTGTGATGTTTGAATGGGAACCTGGAGGAGCCTTGAAAAATGCTTGGCGGTCATCACCCCTGGAAGTTTTGGAGAATGACCATCCATTGGTTAAGGGTCAGAAGGAGACTCCAGGTAAAAAAAGGCCATGGATTCAATCCAACCACTAAAACCCCGACTAAATTGGGTGGTGAATTCACCTACCAACCTAATTGGGTTTGACTCACAGCCGATAGGACGCGACATATCATACATATGATATGTCGCGTCCTATCCAAAGGGAACCGCAAACCGCGGGCATCCGAGCTTCTCACCGATAGGCCCAGCTGGAGCAAGGGAGCCGCCGCCAGTAGGGGCTTCCTCGCCGGAAACGGGACGCAAAACCCAAAGGACCATATGGCCGTGTCCTTCTTGGGGGGTTGTTACCTTCAAAAGGTGTGTCATTGTTTGGGTCATCCCCCGAAAAGGTGGTTTTCCCAGTTGGATTCCAAACAAAAACAACAGGTGCCCGCAAGAGGCACACCCATATTCAACTCAAAACAACCGTTTTAGGGGCCTCGATTGTGAGAAGCTCCCCTTTTGAGGGCATCTCAAAATAGGAGGGGGTCCCTAAAATGGGTGTCCTTTTGGTTTTCCTATACAATACCTGCCAAAAACGGGGGAGGGTGTCCGAAATAGTGGTCTTCGAACATGATTGGTCTCTTGTTGGTAAACGGTGCCTCGGAGGGTGCAGGAAACCACAGTTTGGGGGGTTTCCCATGCCCGGCCAACTTCATCCAAGGCTCAGTTGGATCTTCTCCAAGTCCGAAGGGCGCGCCTCAAAGAATCAGAAGCTGGCCTGAAGTTGATTTGAGTCACAATCAAAACCCGGTATTAAAATGGTTGACCGAACCATATAAGGAAATACAAAGCCGGCCGCAGCTGTTTCTGGCTGGGAGTGTCCCTTACTAACCTTCATCTATCCGGGTTTGATTGTGGCTCATTTGACTCTGCAACATGGAAAACGCCGAGTCAAACAAAGTCTTTTCGCGAGATCGAATGCGAACAATGCCTGAGTTAGAGTTGATTGGCCGGAAGAAGTAACCCAACTTTCACAACTTTCCTCCCCTCCGGCAGGCCTTTTTCATGGTGTTCCATGTGGGAGGGTGGTATGCCACTGAAAGCCACAAGCACCTCCTGGTGGAATGCGAAACACATGGACCTCCACAAGACCTCGGTATACCTTAATTAGCCTAGGTTCCGGCCAAAAACCGAGCTGACTTGACCCGAAACAATCATACACTTGCTCAGCTCGCTTGGCTTACATTCTGGGTTTGGAGGAGTTCCGGGTCCCCTCCCGCAAGAACCAGTTCAAAGCCCACCGCGAGTTGGGGCCCTTGCTGTGGAAAGCAGTGCGGGACTGGGCAGCCCTTCGTCCTTTAGGACATTGGCATACCCAAGAGGAAACAAACAAAAAAGCACATGTCATGTTGGTCCAAAAATGGCGACATCGCCCAAACAGCCTTCCCTTGAAGCATCCCAACTTTCTCTATACAAAACATCCGGCCAAACAAAATGTTATGTTAGGGCCGCCAACAGGCGCAGTTTTCTAATCAACAAGGAGAACTCGTAGGACCTTCCAGGACAACCAGCTTAAAGGGGATCCTCCAAATTCAGCTGGTGCAAGGCTGTGTGTTGTTTGGCCCCTATCCTCCTACACACCGATCCGTTCCCGGCTCCGTTGTTTTCCGGCGGAAAAAAACCCTCCGTTTTTGGAGCATCTCAGCGGGGCTCCCGGCGCCAGGTGGTACAGACGGCAACGCCACCCGCGGGAAGGTGCCCGTGCCGACGGTCAGGGACCTGCGAAAAGAAACGCCCAAGGAAGTTGCCACGCGGGGGAACCCGCAGCGGGGAAGGCGCGTCTTTGCTTTTTGGTTGAGGGGGGGAAAGGGGGGGCGGGGGAAGGGGATGGGTGCCAGTCAGTATTCTTCTTTCTTGGGGGGGCCCAAGTTGCCAACAAACTGTGCAGGAGCCTCTATCGCAGCAACAAACATCTGCCCCCCTGGTTCGAGCCCCACAAATGCTTGTCTCTTCGCAATTGCTCGCGAGAGGTTTTTTGGGCTTCGAGCGAAAGTCAAGTTTAGGCCATGGCATGTTCTTTCAAAGGAGCGAGATTAGGAAAAGTCATCAACAAAAGGAGAGCAAACAAACTGCAAAACAAGCGCGAATCAGCACAACACAGTGCAAACGAGCGCAAACTCAAAAACATGTTACGGAGAATGAGTGCCACAGTTTGTTGACGCCTGGATCGATGTTGGTCGAAACACAGATCTATTTTTGGGACGAGCTGCCACGAGCATAAAGATTTCGTGGCAAAAAACATGTCGGAGGCAGCGGGTGAGATGGTAGCAGTATGTAGCAGTTGTTATTGGTTGTTGCAGCGCCCCAGCAACCAGGGACAGAACCCAAACACTGAAAAACTCAGAAGCATGCAGAGAGTGGAGGCAACCATACTGTGGATGGACAAAATCCTGGCATCAGTTCATTCGATTGAGAACCATATTATGAATGAAGACTGGGATAAAGTACCAACTAGTGCCGGAAATTTGGATACAAACCTTATTCATTCCCTTTCTTCCACCAGAAGGCACCCGCAGGGTGGAAGATCAGTTCCAAAGACTCGATCTCCCAATGGCAAGCAAATATGTGTTGTCTTCTCCAGCCACCAAAGGGTGGCACCAAATTGTTGACCCCGGGTTAAGAAACCCCAGTTTCTTAACAGGGGGGTGTTTGTGGGTTTAGCGGGACAGGGGGGTGTTTGTGGGTTTAGCGGGGGTTCAAACCACTTTTGGAGGGGCCCCCACCCCCATTAATAAGCTGGCTGGTTGATTGATTATGCATGGGGTCGACATTGTTTACAACAGCCTATAACGGCCCTAGGGGTCCTGATTGATTTTGGGCCCTCAAAATGGCTTGTTTTCGAGGGCCCTTGAGGAATTGGTGGGGGTGCTCCTCTCCATTGGAGGGGTGCATTGGACCAATGTCACGACCCTCAGGGCAAAACGTCATCTTCAAAACCTATCGCAAGGAGAACATGGGGTGCTCTTCGACCCATCCGCCGCCCCCAGCGCCTAGAGCTAAGGTCCGAGATGGCGGAAGCCACCGTCTCCTGTCTAAGAGCTTCGGGCACGAGCACCCGGCAGTAATGAGTCGGCGTTGTGACTTACAAAAAGGCTCCCAGGAGTTTGGGGGGATATCCATGTCGCAAACAAGAGCTCCCAGAAATTTTGGGAGAAATCCATGTCGACAAAAAAAGGCTCCGATATTCTTTTGGGGAAATCTGTCGCCAAAAAAAAGGCTCGCAGGAGTTTGGGGGGAACATATGGAAGATCAAAGTTTGTGCTCCACCCAAAGGCACAAAAAGCGAAAAGGCAAACTCAAGTCGCAAACAATCATCGAAGTTTCAAGGCCCTGCGGCGAGCACAGGTGGCATCAGTGCTACAGAAAAAAGAGTCAAGGGTCACGCTCAAAAAGGCCCTGAAAGAAAGGGTTTGGCGTGATTCAACGCAGGTTACAACCCCCTCTTTCTGCTAGAAAAGCCCCCCCCGAACAAAATCAAGGGTCCCTGTCAAAAAGGCCCTGAAAAAGAGTTTGGCGATTTGACTTCGCGCTAGACAAGCTCCCTCCCCCCGGAGAAAACAAAAACAAGTGTCTGATTGACTCGAGTGGAGTCCTTGCTCTCATGGACCCGAGCATCATACTTCACCAGGCGGTCCAGCACCGGCAAGGGAACCTCATGAACCGCGTTGGGCCAAAGATATGGCTGTGGGTCAAAACCCCGTACCCCCAGTGAACATCCCAATCCGGCCCAATCCCCACTAGAATAGACTAAAATGCGTGGTGCACCTATCCCAAAATGGTACCATTGGTTGTGAACCATGGCCATGTGGGCAAGCCAGGCCACCAAATTTGTTGGCTCCAAATTTGTTCCTAGAAAGTGGCGGACTGCAAGGTTCCCAAGGAAAAACCGGATCGGGATCTTTGAGCCACAGCAGTTGCAACATGTTCAGGGGACCTTGACCTGGCAGAAGATTGGCTTCGGTTTCATGGGCCTAGAAACAAAAGCCGAACCTTTGAAACCTATGACTAGCTTCAGAGACGCATCCACTTGACATCCTTAGGGGCAAAACCGCACCTAATGTCGAGAAATCGCTTGGCTTAACCTAGAAAAACACCCTGCGCTTCTCAAGCTGAATTTCGGTTCAAATGCCCAGGCTCCAAGTCAGAACATGCCTATGCCAGGAAAAGATGCCTCTTGACAGCGGCTCAACCTTGCCAAAAAATATGGGCCACATGAACACCAGCGCGATTCGCGCCCAGAGCCACCAAGTTAGGAATTTCACCGGGGGCATTTTCACACCAATACCTCACTTCTGAAAGAGTGGATGAGCTTCAAGAAATAGCGAAGCTGAATGTTTAACCACTGACAGGGCAACCGACTAAAGCCCAGGAACTCAGGACGTGAGAAATACTTGTTTCAAATCCTCAAAGCCAGCTCGAGCTAAGTGGGCCATCCTTTCAGGAACCAGGAAGGCCATGATGGTCACCAAGGAAACCCAAACCCTTCGGGGCCATCGGAAACCAGGGCGCTCTGTTGGCTGCAACTGCTCAGGGCAAAACTCCCTGAGGCAAAAACATGAAAAGAAGCAACCCAATCAAAATGTCTCAAAACAGATGTCAATTTCTGTTGACCAAAATAGCAACGGCTTTTTGGTTGGTTTCCCTTACAAAAAGGCGACCCTACGGTGAGTGTGCCTTGCATATTTCAAGTAAGGAAAACGGGAACCCCTCAAATATTCCCTGATCTACCATGGTTTTGTGGCTGAATCTGAGTAGCTTACCTGCAAGATGCTGGCATTCACCCCATTTTGAGAAACACCCATACGGTGGGGCTCTCTGGTTCTAGGGCACCCCTCATCCCGGGTTTCGCTTTGGGTTTCCCTTTCGAAAACAAAAAAAGCCGGGGCCTCAAAACATGTCGCCCATCTCCTAGGCCCTCCAGTAGAGAGGTTAGGACAAGGGTACCAACTTGTTGCTGTCTGTTTTAGTAGGGTCCCGAACCCTCCCCAAAAAAGAAACGGTAAAAGTTGGCACCTAGCTGGCACCTAGTCTCGGAATCGAAAGCGACAAGGGGCCATCTTGCAGAAGTTGGTCTCCTGAAGCCAAGGGTACCGCAAACACTCCGCGGCCGTGGGCCGCTGTGCCGGGTTGCCTCAGGTCGAGCCCCGGAAAGGAGAGGTGAAAGGCCCTCCACCCTCCAATAATTTTGTCCATTTGGCTATGGGTCAAAAACACCGGTTAGCCCCCAATGAACATCCGATTCAATCCAACCACCAAAATAGGTCTACAATGGGTGGTGAATTCACCTACCCCAAAATGGTACCATTGGTGTTGACCCATGGCCATTTGTCCTGATGTGCCCTTGTGTGGTTGCCGTTTTGGGTACCAATTGACAACCCTAACATGGCACCAATTAACATGGAACATGACAGGGGTGCTGGAAAATAATTTCCTTCTAGAGACTCCTGTCAGCTTCCATGCTTGGCGGGAGGGAAGGGCCCTCAAACCAACATGGCACCAGTGGGAGGGCACCTGAAAGATAAGCTTCTTGGAGGGACCCCCTGTGAGGTGCCATGTTAGTGGGAGAGAGGGTGTGCTTTTGGAGCACCTCCCTTGTCACACTTGTGGGATCCGTGTTAATTTCTAGGAGGAACATTGTGGGGCCAAGACAAAGAATGGTCGCCAAGGTATCCCGTCGATTCGCTGTGGACAAATGAATGTCCCCCAACATCAGCCCAAAAGGAACTCACCTTAACTCACATCAAGTCGAGTGGATTCGCCAAGGAAAGGTCCGGACTTGTTGTTTACCTCTACAAGGCCCAAACCCAAAAAGTTTGAAAGTCCAGGAACTCAGGGAGTGAGCTAGTTGGTTACCAACATGTAAATCTAAACCACCCTTACAGGGCGAAAAGACGGGACCGCGGTCAAGCTGACAACCTGACCCCCGCTTGACCGAGAGGTCTGGCTAACGGAGGCATATAATTGGGTTTGCTGGGTGAATACCGGTTTAGAACCCAACGCGGACGCGTTGTGTCAAGGACCTGCAGCCACAAAAACGGGGACCCCTTTAAAAGACAACTGCAGGATAACTGCAAAACCAACCCAAAGCAAAAGATAAAGCCGACCAAAACCCAGCAGGTCGATTTTGAAGGGAAAGCAAAAGAGAACTGCAAAACCAACCCAAACTCGCCCTGGCTTTGGAAATCAATCGGAAACAGGTAATCGATTTTCTTTCAGAAATCATGGAATTGAACAGGAGGGTTCTGAAAGACCAAAGCCATCCATGCTCTCGAAACTGTCGCTTGTCCACTCTTCCATGACTGTTGGAAAAGGATCCTACCTGTTATCCGACTCAAGCATTTGTGATTTTTGTAGTAAGCTGGAAACCTGACATAAGGCGCCAAAAAAGGGGTCATGGTGAGCTCGCTTTATCCCCGACTCGGTGAAGCAAAAGGACTTCGTTGGGCACCTGCTAATCCCAGCTAGGGACGCGAGGAATGCCCTGAGACTTGAGGGATGGGGGGCCCCCCTGCTCCCCCCACAAAAGCAATCTCACTTCCCAAGCTCATAGGTCAAAGAAAGTCCAAACTGTTTGTCTGCCACTAAACAAAAATTAACGTCCGTGCAGCAATACTCTTAGAGGGGTAAGGTTTCACAACTCGTTTCCAACACGGAGACCTCCAAAGTTGTAGTCCCACGCCAGTCTCACAAGAAATGCCCTTGGACACCTACAGTTACGCATATGGGCTCCCAATCGTGCCCAAGCAGAATCAAACAAGCCCACAAATCAAGATCATGCACAAAGCAAAAAACAAAAACATTTGGGGATGTGTACACCCCCATATATAACAACCACGCGCGGTGAACAGGCAAACAAAGGGCGTCCAAAGCGATGAGTCGATGAGTCCCCCACTGCAAACCCCTAGGAAAGCAAAGAACCTTCTAGGGTTCTGACCACCCTTCCGGGCTGGGGGCCCGAACCACTACGAAACAAATATCCGATAAACAAGCACTAGTTGCAAAATGGCCATGAACTTTCGATAGGGAACCCTCCAAGCAGTGGTTGGTGGACATAAATCCTCACCTAAACAACGTTCGCCAAGGGGTCCTCCAACAAAAACCGCCAAGTAGACCCCAAGTGTCCACAATAAGGACAAGAGGTCCTCCAAACAAAAAACAACTAGACTCCAACCAGACCCTAAGTGTCCACAATACAGCCAAGGAGGGTGAGCAATTTTCGGGTGAGCAATTTTCCCTCCCCCCGCCCCGCTCGCCCCGTCCGAGCTGCTCTCGAGCATGCGAGAACAGAGCGCCTCCGCTTGCGCCGAGGCATGGCGCAAGCTGGACCAGTCCTCAGGGCGTTCACATGCGTTCACTAAGCCCCCGGCCCCCTGCAAAAAAAAACAACAACCACGGACTGAGAGCCCTGTAAAACCAACAAGGGGGACAACAAACGTACATACCCTAGTTGGCGATTTGGATTGGTGGTTTGGTATTTGAACCCCGGGTTCTTGTTGAGGGTACATGGAATTGAAGCCCCTCCTTACCCACCAAGCCACCAATCCAAACCACCAATTAGAGGGAAGCTGACGTTTGCCTAAGACCCCTGCAGAAAAACACAGATAGTAGTTACAATATCCCTTTAAAACCAACAAGGGAAAGTTAAAACATATTCTTAAGCAAATGGAAGCTCCGCCAGAGAATGGTTAGGAGTCAGACTCCAAGGGAATGCATGCAATGATAGCTAGCGGAAAAAGTAGGTGCAAGTAGAATTTCCGCTAGATGTGGGCAAGGGAACAACTAAACCAACACGGTGGAATTGTGCCATCTACTTGCACCCAACTGTACAAATGTTCAAAGCAGGCGTGTAACTGGGACAAAGGGTCAATGTATGGCTATTTGCCCGCCAGGTTTGGATACCACAGGGCTCTCTGAACTAAGTTGATACCAAAAATCAACTGTTTGACAAGGGACACCTCAACATCAGCTGGTATTTAGGTGATTTGTCAAGCGCACATATATCCTGGAAATCTTGACAAAAGGGGGGGGGCTGCACAGTGCTCGGAGCGAGAACACCCAGGCAAGTTTGAAATGTGAAGCCCTGTTTTTTTTTCTCGAAATGATAGTGATGCCGCTGCCATTTACCCTCCCATGCACAAACATTGAACTGCACAGGGGGTTCTTGGAAGACTACTTTCCAAGAAGGGTTTTAAGGTTTGTGAACGAGAGGAACATTATTTGTGACCCATGACCACGCTTGAACAGAGACAAAACTCCCATGTTCCACGCATGAAAGACTGGCCCCTCTCTGATAAAATTTCCGGGGTTTCGGGTTGAACGCGCAGTACATCCTATGCACTCAGAGTCCAGGTTAAACATGGAGTGGAAAACCACCATGTCGTGGGTCTCCGGAACAAAGACACACCCAAATTGTTGTTTCGTTTTTCCGAGAGGAGGACACGGGACAACAGGGTCTCGTCCCTTGCTTTTCGTGGGGAAATTCGGTGGCCGAGCCTGACTGAATAAGCCGCGAAAAAAGTTGGTTGCAAGTGGTTGTCCCCAAATCCGGTGACCCCCAAATGGTCGACCCTTTGGCTGCCTTTAGATCGAGCCCAAGGGTGGCTTGTCGCTCCAACATGAAACGCCGCCCGGTGCCCCGTTTCCATGGGTGGAGTCCGGTGGGGTCTTGTTTCGCCCAAAACCCGCCATCCCGCTACCAGGGGGAGGGGTCCATAAATGGGTGTGTCATATTTTTCGAGCCTACCCCTTTTTCGACAAAGACCAAAAGGCAAACCGCTGGCTTGGCGGGTCTGACTCCCAAAGCAAGACAAGCCAAACGGAGACCTCCGGGTTCATCATGAAGATGAACCCACTTGGGGGGTTAGGTTTGAACTGCAGATTCTTGTAGGGGGCTTTGGGGAAACCAACCCCTCCAAACCACCGCATCGGGCAAGTAAACAAAAACACTTCTTGAGTGAAGTCCTTGCAACGCCAGGATGTGTCTCTTTTTTCGGGGTGCTAGCTGGTTTTCAAGGGGGGAAAGCCACCATGTTGTGGCTCCCCGAGGAAAACAACGAACACACCCAAATTGCTGGTTCGATTGGCCACAAACAAGCCAGTTATAACCTTTTATTTACCCACTAAAATTGCAACCAAGCCCAACAAGTTCCAAGTCTGAGTTCCGGCCCTCGGGTCGTGCATTTTTTTTCTTCGATTTTTCGAAAGAACCTCCCCGGGCCCCCGCCCAAAGCGACCCCAAAACGAGCCCACCGCCCCGTGCCATTCGGATGCAGGCGCCACCCGGAGGTGGCCGGAGGCCTCCGGGGCGGTGAAGGGCCCTCCGAAGGAGAGGTCGTTGGCTTTCAGCGGCGCGCAGCCGCTGAGCAAGATGAAGAGCAGACACCCGCAGGCCCACACCTCCCCGATCGGTTCCTTTCCGCTTGTCCGCGGCTGCTTTCCCGGCCCCCCGGGCTTGATATATTTATGTTGTTTTGTTGGGAAAGAATGGGCGCCTGGTGGAACCTCCTCCTCAGCTTCCAGACCCGCCCCGGTTTGATATGGGTTTTTTTTGGGGGGGGGAAGGTCGCCCAAACCTTGGATCTTAGAATTCTAGCAGTTCAGTAGATTTGGATTTCAACCACTGAACCGCAATTCGCGCAAGAATAAGCAAAATGTGTCCCAACAACAACCATGAAACCCCACTCAGACCCCTTCCGGCTTGATGCTTTTTCGAAAGGGCTCTTAGTGGTTGAGTGGTTTGGGGGGTTCAAACCCAGTAAGCCTGTAGAAGAACCAAACCAAAGCCTGGTTCTTTGGTGATTTTTTGGTTTGGCGCCTGGTGGTTTAGTGGCTTGGGGCTGGTTTCGTCTGGCACCTGGCGGTGTAGTGGTTTGGGGTTTCAACTCCATTTACCCTCTATAAGAATTAGGGGTGCAAATCCCCAAGCCACAAATCCCAACCACCACTTAAGAGTTTCCTCACCACCTGCGCAAAGAAAAAAGCAATGCTATCAGATTTTGCACCCAAACCTTGGCCCAGGGGCTACGCAGAAGAACAACCAAACATGTATTCCGATTCTGCAAGTCTGCTTCATATTTGCAAACCATATAGTTATAAATATATACGCTACATATATATATATATGCATATATATATATATACGGTCTACCCCATATGTTTTCTCTTTTGCAGCTTCGGCTCCGTATTTGGCCTACCTTAAAAACTCAAATAGGTTTGGAGACGCCAAAGACCTCCATGCAAGACAGTTTGCTGCTTTTTGGTTGGTGCCGTTTGCTGGGGCGCCACTATTTCGGCGTAGGGATACGAAAGGCCAATCACTTTCTGTTTTTGCGCGGGGCGTGTCTGCTTTGTGTTTCTTTCCGCGGGTGCATTGTTTCAAAGCACGAACGGTCGGCTTGAATGGGAACCAAGCAGGAGTGCAAGTGGTTGTGAGAAACCAACTGGAATCTGGAAGACTTCGGGCAAATGGCCCAAGTCTTGAATATCAGAATCTAAGATGGCTTCCGGTACCACACCACTGCCGCCCAGAGTTTAATGGTGAAAAAAAACAGCAGCATAAATCCCACTTAAAGGGCCGTAGTCCAGAATTGCCCTGTTTTCCCCTAGGTAGTGGTTGGGGGGGCAGTGGGAATTGTCTATTGAAGCAGTGCCGGCGAGAAAGGGGGCCGCTTCCCCCACCTCTGAAGGGACCAGTCCGTGGCTTGTTTGGCGACCTCGACCTCACAGTGTGTCTTTGTGGCTTCAATTCGTTGGCGGGCCATAGTTCGCCTGAGCCTCAAAATTGGTATGTGCCAAAACATGGAGACCCCTATTTCCTGTTGAAACCAATCCCAGAATAGGCGCCTGCGACATACTCAGCAATTGCATGCGTTAAGCGACCCTAGCCGAGCTGCATCCTGCTTTGGGCTGCAGCACTCCCGGGTGTAGGAGTCTTGCTCTGGCCGGAGGTGCTGTGCTGATGTCACCTTCAGGGCAGAAGCTTGAACAGGAATGTGGAGCCCGGCAATGACATAAGGACCCATGGGTGTTTCTCAAGTTGCTGGACCAGCTTTTGGTTGGCTCAGTTGCCCAAAGGACCTGGAACTAAAAACCTTTTGGGGCCATGACTAAATATGGACCAAAGTGGGAAAACCAAAAGGTCAAAAGGTCTGCTTTGAACAACTGAGTTGGCATTATAATGGACGGCAACGGCAAAACGAGACCCTTCCCATTTTAGGGGGCCCGATTCCTATGAGATCCACCCAGCTTCTACTCATCGGACCTGACACGGTCGGGCCTTGTTGGGAAAACGGCTTCAGAAAGAAACCCAAAGATCACCAACCATATGGGTATGCCAAAACAGGGGGACCCCCAAAATAAATACCGTCCTTTTGTTTTCCATCTAAACTTTAAATCAGCTCCAGAAAAGGGCGCCGAGCGTCAACACAACATACACCACACCAACTAACATGGAGCCTGACGTTCAGAAATTCCCATGCCTTCAAGCAGAGGACCCCGAAAAAACGTCGAGCTGGACGCGGGAGAGTCTATATATATATATGAATGTATTCACCCATGCAGTAGGTACCCCGAGGAAGCCACCCTTTAAGACACAAAAGGAACAATGGCTGGCTACCCATTGGATCAACGATTCCGATCGATTTCCGACTCCTTGGGACAAAGCCGACCAAAACCGGGCCTTGGCCACGTGGTTGCCGGGGGGGGACAAAACCCCCGCCAGGCCGAGGTCTGGGATGATCACCTCGAGGCCAACCGGGTTGGCCCGACTCGCTCGCTTGGGCGGCTGAAATCAAAAGAATGAAACTCAAACGATTGGAAAAGGCCTTGGGGCAAATGAGCAAACTATGGCGCCCTGAGAATTGAGAGGAAGTCCATCGTATCCAGCATCTACGGACCCCAAATCTGGAACATTGCAACAAGCGCCTTTGGTCGCATCTTTTAGAAAAATGCAAAGAAAAAGTCATGTCAGTGAAAAGCTGGTGAATTGAAGGAACAATTCTAGCAACAAAGACCTCTGCACATCCAATCCATGCACTTGGCCGACCCCTCCCACTGGTCATCACCCGCCAAAAGGCTTGACGCCGCTAGGAAGGAGGATCACGTGTTCAATTAAGAATCCTCTGGTTCTGCGGGCGAAATGCTCCACATGACGAAAGGAATCTTGGTTGCTGTTGACCCCTCTGCAAAAAGTTTAACTTTTTGTGGGTTTAGTGGAAAACCCCAATGATTTCAACCAAAAAGTTAAAGTCTAAAGATCCAACCCAATAGCAATCACGGAATCATGTCGCAATGGGAGTTGGCTCGAACATGTACCGGGTGTTGGTTTGCTTCGCTTTCCTGATAAATTCATTTATGCTCCTGTCTGCTCACACATGTGGACGCTGGTCGCAAAGAAAGGATAGGCCAGGGTCTTTTAGACAGCCCCATGCTTCCAAATAGGGAGGGTATCCCAGTTCCTTCCTTATGCTAGCTGCCCCCGACTTGAAGGATCCATGTTGCATCTGGAACCCTCACCCGTCCCATGGGCCCAAGCTGGAGCAGGGATGTTTGCGTCCATGTTTTCTGAGATCTTGAAGTCTTCAAGGGTAGCAAAGACCCAACTAGTCAAGAGCCGAACCCCTTGTCAGGCCGCTGGAAGAAATTGTTAGGCTCCATATGGGGGGTTGCAATATGCCCGGCCCAACCTGAACAAAAGCCACTATCCCATATTTCCCATATTTCCCCCAAAAAGAAAAAAATGCAACACCACTGATTCTGTACTCAAAAGCCCGTTGGTTTTCCTTGGATCCAGCGAGAATCCTTTCCTCAACAAAAATGACCCCTTATGCAATGGAGCCGCAAAATGCATCATTCCGTACCAGCACCAAAAAACAACAACCTTCTTCCCATGTTCACTTGCCCAAAGGACCTGGACATAAAAGGCGATGACCTTTTGAGACCTTGACTAAGACTTGACCAAACACAGGAAGACCAGAAGGTCAGGTCCGGTCCATTTGCTGCGGCAAAAGATCCACAGCTGTTGGGCCACCCAGTCGGAATTCGATCCGAGGCGCATGTGGAGAGGTGGCGGGATCCGAGATGGATGCCAAGCCCACACTCTTCATCCTGACCACGTGGCAACCGGGGAAACATGGCTTCCCTAAACTAGCTCCTCCAGTAATTAGAGGAGATAGAATAAGGGTACCCTTTTTTTCTGGGAACCCTCTCCCAAAAAAGAAACGGTAAAAGGGCACTACGGGGGCCCTAGTAAATTAATTGACGCGTGGGCCCTTCCTCTCCTGAGAGGGGGGCCAAGAAAAGTCCGAAATTTGGCGCTGCAGGGAACACCGAACACATTCTCTTCAGCTGTCCCAGTGAACAAAACTCCGCCCAAAGGGCCTGGAACTAAAAGGTGATCACCTTAAGCGATGAGGGATCCCAAAAGAGGTGAAAGCCAAAAAGGGAAACCAAAAAGGGAACCCAAAAAGGGAAAGCCCAAAGAGGTCATTTTGATCCATTCGCTTCGAACAACTGGGAAAATTTGATTGACATTCGGAGCTCCGGTGGCTTCAATTCCGAGCGCGCGGCCCAAAGTCGCCGTGCACGATGCTGTGGGGCTTGAGCTGGTGGCAATAGCTCAGCACGTCCAGGATTTGCCGAAGCACCTCGGTGCGATCAAAAAAAGCGTCCCACCAAATGGATGGGAAAAGGCTTTGTATTGGCTGTAAGGATTTGAAGCCGGTCCTTTTTCTGGTAGTGGGTGAATGGGAAACCGCCCCGGGAAACCACCTCCAAACCACCAATCCAAGCCACCAAAAGGAGACTCACCAAAAAAAAATGTGTTCTCAAAACCAAAGGGAGAAACACGGCGAGCCCTGCTCAGGTGCTCCAGGGAAGCCTTGGTGCCCAGGTGGTGCTCTTCTTCGACCCCTCGTCGTCAGGGAAGGACGTTGGGCCCAAGGAATGCAAAGCACAAGGACCACAAAGCGTCCATTTGAGCGCCCGCAGCCATTGATTTCTTACCCCTTAAAACTCCAAGGATTGGGGAAGTTTTCACCTTTTACAGACATATAGCCCATGTTACCCCCCAAAAAGTTGAAAAGTTGTGTTTCTAAGAGGTAAGATTTGCTCTGCCAAGACGGTTATAAAGGTTTTCACGGCCTTTACATGCCTTTACTCCATAAAATAGTTGCTTCCCAGTTGGTGGTCTGGATGGTGGGTTTGGAGGTGCACCGGGGCGTTTCTCATTTACCATTACAACAATACACAAATGGATTCAAATCCAAATCCAAACCAATCCAAGCCCTGAATCTGTAACATGAAATACTGTGGATGGTTGCTAAGAAACCGTGGGACCGTGTAAATACTCATGAACAATGGTTTCCCGTGGCTTCAAAGTGGTGCGAAATGGATTTCGCAACCATCCACACATCATCCAGAGTATTGATGTTCGGAGTTACCCTCGTTTCATCGTTTCGCATCGGGAGGGGCGCGAAATCCGAAGCAAAAAGGTCTTTGGCTTCTACGCAGAGCTCCCGGATTCATACAGGGGAAAGGTCGCCCTTGTTGAAAGGGGCTAAGCAAGAAAAACAACACACGAACAAAGGGAACCCCGCTTCAAAAAAACATGAAACGCGGGCCACTGCCAGCAGCCTCCACCCTTAAGAACTGCAACATCTACCCTTAAAAAGAAGGGGACATGCCACCATGTGCTTACGGAACTAACAGTAGCTGCTTAACTCCCCTTTAAAAAACACACACATTTGGACCCTTCCAGCAACAAGTCCGGCCCCCTTCCAACCACCAGCTAGCCACAACCCCATGACTAAAACGGGCCGTGGGGACTCGGTACTTGATGCCAGTTTGAGGGTTCCCCAGCGCTCTCAACTACCCACCCGGGCCCCTTGTCTCTACCCCCCCCAACCAGGGATTCCATATTTAGCTGGGTCCGGTGCATCCCTCCCTCGGCTCAATGGGTTTTCTGGGAACCTCTCACCCGCCCCTTCCCCGCCTGCGCCAGCCACGCCTCGGTGATCTCGGTCTTGGACTCGTAGCGGCACCGCACGAAGGTGAGCAAGCGGATGCTGTCCGCCAGCTCGGAGATGATGTACACGCTGTTGTAGTCCTGAACAAAGCGGCGCTTTCAGAAGCACTGGCGGGGTTTGCAGCCACGGAGTTATATATATATATATATATTTATATATATACCACTTGTATAGTCCTAACTTTCAGGGGATGGGTAAGGTAGGGGATGGGTAGGGGGGTGGGTAGGGGTACCAAAACTCTGCTCCACATGCCGTTCTAGTCCTGCAGGGATGTCTACTCCCAACGATGGTGCAATATGCTGACGATCATTTGGGTGTTCTCAAAATAGGGATCCCATCAAAGCGTTCATCATTGTGAGAAACTCATATTCGATTTGATACGGCATGGTTAAGCGAATGGCAAGAGCCACCCTTAAAGTGTGGAGACCCGCAAGGGGGGCTTTCCGTGTTGTCTTGTAAAGGGGGCTCCACAACAGGCTGTCCAAATGCGGGCTCTGAAAAACAACAACCAAAAGATACCCATTCATTTCGCTTCCGTGTCGGGAAACCAAGATACGGCAATCTGTGAAGACAGAATGCTTTGAACATTATGTAAGGGGCAATGCAGTTCCACACTTGCCCTATGACTATGATGTACCCACAACCCCATTCTAATCATCTCCTTTATTTGCTTAAACGAATCACATTTCCATTTGAAACCAAAAGGAATCAAAATAAATCAATTTCTTGAGCAAGCGGTCGTCATGTTAGGCCCTCGCTCTTGACCGCCAGCATTCCTCGAAGCTTTCCACCACTCGGGGCAAGTTCGGATGCTGCAGGGTGCGCAGCGTCTCGGCCTCCGAACGGACTTGGTCCTTAGCTCTCGCAAAGTTACCTCAACTGTTGAGAAACCAAACATCCTATTTGATCCAGTTGAGGTCAGGCAAAATTTGGAGTGCCTCCTAACTGGGTAACAACCCAGTATCCTTTTTCCCAGTGCCTCACCAGGACTTTCATGAGTTCAGGTCTCTATACCAGACCGCTCCGCCAAAAGCGTGGACACGGAACCAAGGGTGCGCAAACAGATTTTGAACGAGGACCGCGGCGAGAGGTTTTGCAGGCCACGCAACGGTGACCCAAATGCTTAGGGCAACCCCTGGTCCGCAAGTCAAGGCCAGAAGGGATTTCCAGCAATCGTCCCATTCCCAATCAGACATTCCCCCCTCCTCCCCTAAAAGTATTCGCCTGGAAAGTGGCTAGCCGGATGTGTTTGCCAATGGGAGGGGTTCGCTGGGTTGGGGCTTCGGGATCATGTTCGAGGAACTGGAGAATCAACTCGACGCAAAGTTCACTGGAACCCAGTGGATCCAGCAGCCCCCAAAGATAACGTAACGAAACCATTGTCAAAGGGTTCCGTTACAGGAACATCTACAGCAAATAGCCCCAAAACACACTAAGTAAGCTGTTTTACCGCAGAATTTCCTGCAACCCGGGAAAACCGTGGCAAACACAACGGGTTCTAGTTCTACCCACGGTATCTGGGACCGCTGGGTCAGGTAAGGTGCGGGATGCTGGACCCAGGATGCCCGCAGTGATTTGCAACACTACCTCCAACTGGGTCCAATAAGAAATCAACTCCACTTCCGGAGCTGCTGAGTTGCTGGACTTGATGCTTCTTTGTGGGATCGGCGTTTCTTTATCAAAAAGAAAACACTCGGGGAATCCTCCCGCGGAAAGGTCCCCCCGTTCTTTTTGCCAAAGAGCCGATGGGCCATGGATGCGATCCTTGCGCAGTTGGAAGCACTGCCGGTCCTCGAAGCTGAGTCCTGAGAGCTGAGTCTCTCTTTTCACCGAGGGCAAAAGCCTTACCCCTTAAAACTCCAAGCCCTGGGGAAGCTCATCTTTTACAGACATATAGCCCATGTTACCCCCAAAAAGTTGAAAAGTTGTGTTTTTAAGAGGTAAGAAGCACAAGAAGGGCCTTCCTTGGTTGACGTTGGAAGGGAGCAACAAAACACAAAAAGGCAGCTCAGATTTCCCCCGAAACCAGTTGAGTGAAATTGGAACCACGTGACGCATCAAGGCGTTGGATCCTTTGCATCAAGGAGCTCCCTCGACACCTGTAGGTCCGTCCGAACCGGGCATAGGACAGGAGCCCAAAGTTCTCATAGCCTCAGAACTTGAGGCGCAAGCCACACCGCAAGCCACAATTTCTGGTATGCTTGTCTTTAACAAAAAAACCTAAAGGGGGTTTGGGGCAAAATTTGCTTGGCCAACCCCCTGATATGATTATGTCGTTTTTTTCTGGGGAATGTTTTTTGGCCTTCAACAAAAACAATATCTCCAGTGTTGATAGATTTCCTGCACAACGAACAGGGGGAATTCACGAGGGGGAACGGGGAACGAAAGGAATACCACCAATTTCCAGGGTCTTCGGTTCTGAGACAAACCCATATGCGATCGAGGTTTGGTGTAACCTGACAAATTCTGACAAATAAGTGATCTTGCAGGCACTATAGCCCGCTTTTCGCGCAGTGGTGCGGGGGGGGCAACTGGTGGAAAGCTTGCCATCACCTCGCCGCGAAGCGGCGTCGACTTGGCCGATGTGATGTTTATCGCTTTGGGCCACGGAGAAGTCGTGTTCTTTATACTAAAGACTCACTTCCCAAGTTGACTGGCCAAAAAAAGTCTGAACTTTTTAACTTCCCAAGTTGACTGGCCAAAAAAAGTCAGGAAGTGAGAAGAAGTGGACATAGGCGATTGGCAAGAGGAGCAACTGAAAACTGATCTCTCAACGGCCTTGAAACCTTCTCTGCTGCTAGGATAGTTGCTTATTGACTCGAAATCCTGGGGAGCTGAAGCAGGGCCCGTTATTTGACTGTCCCTAAGAGGTTCAAAGTCAGAAACGTGAATCATGCCCCTCAAGCCTATCCTTTGGAAACCATTTGTTTTTACCTTAAGGCAATCTCATGAAAGCTCCCAGAAGGAAGTCGTCTAAGGATCCTGGGAGTTCTATGACTATGTTAGCCTTCAACTAGCCCTTAGCTGGCGGCTTGCGTTGGGCATGTGCTTTTCCACCAGTGGTTGCATGTCCTGGTTTCCGCTTGGGGGACCCCTCTTAAAATCCACTCAATCTTTGCTTGGGGATCTGCATGTTCGGAGGAAAGAAGTGAACGGTTAAAATCCGACCAAATTTCGGTGCGTGGAAAAAGCCCCCCCCCAAGAAATGGGGGGTTCCTTTTGGTGTCCCCTTAAGCCAGCCTGAAACCGGCACCTGGTTCCTTAACTCGCAGCCGAATTACATGCTTTACAATTTTGATGTAACATTCCCACCCAAAAGTAGAGGTGTCCTTTTGGCAACACAGCTGGCCCTGGTAGATTGCAAAACAGCCAGCTCAACCAGGTCAACCAAAACAAAGAACCAAAACAACCAAGCTTCTACCAACAAACCAAACAGAACAATCCAGTTTCTGCCAAAACAAGCAAAAGCCACCAAAACCGGAACACCGAAACCGGAACAACAAAACCGGAACACCAAAACCGGAACACCAATTTCGGAACACCGAAACCAGCCACAAAACCCACCGAGCCAGCGCCGAGTCCGCTCCGAGAAGCGGTCCCGCAGCCGATGGGCACCGCAACGCACTGTGCGGAGGTTCCTGGGAGACCAGATCTGGGATCGGGTCCGGTTGGGTCAGGCGAACTGGGCTGCGGGTTTTATTCCAGGGGCTATGTCTCTCACCATAGGGGTACCCAAAACCGGGTTTCCTTTTGGTGTCCTTCAAGCCAACAAAAAGGGCGGAAAAAAGAAAAATAACCAATTCACCTTGGTCGAGCTCACCTAGCCCCTGAACCATCTCTCTTGCTGGTGCGGTGGGCAGGGAATGAGAAATGGAATGACCACTATGAACCTGGTTTCCTTTAAACTTAAGGGACTGCAGGGTTCATTCCCACCCCCTGAGCACCAGCAAGTTTATCTGGTCCAAGCCGAACGAGTCGATTGGAAGCAATGCTGCTCTTGGCCGTCCTTGTTATGAACCTTCCAAATGGGTCTTTTTTGGGGTAACCACTTGCTTGTGGTTTTACAGGGAAACCAAAAGGGAAACCACTTTTTTTGTGGGGGGGGGGGGGCAACAAATATGACTAAACAAAATTAAGCGGAGGGGCCACAAAAAATACTAGTCACTTCCGATTGAGTGGATGGGCCAAACAAAATAACTCAACTTGTTGTTTGCCACTAAAATGGCAACCAAGCCCAGAAAGTACAATACTGGGAGTGAGAAAGCCTATTCTCAAGCCGAGGGGCCCTTTCGATTGAAAGGCGGCACACTGCGAGAAGCCGGCAAGGGCGAACCACAACCATAGAGATTAAACTCAGTTGCCCAAAGGACCTGAACATAAAAGGTTAACCTTTTATGAGACCCCTACTAAAAATAGACCAAAAGGGGAAACCAAAAGGTCAAAAGGTCGGCTTTGAACAACTGAGTAAAAGCAGAAGCAACTCCGAAGACCCGAGGCAGTCGAAGGCAAACCAATGTAACCTTGAGACACTTTTGTTGCCGCAGCCAGGGACAATGAGCAGAACATAAGCACAAAACCAGAGACTCCCAATGCAGTGGGAGGCGGGATGAGTAGGACTAAAAAGCTTACTTCCAGACTGGCCACACAAAGTCTTACCACCAAAATTGCCTTCCCCAAGAGTCAAAAGTGCAGGAACTTGGGGGAGTACGAAGGTCCCAAACCTCCCCCTCCTTTTCCCCGACAAAAGATCCCTCAGTTGCCCCAGTTTGGAACCAGAAAATCGGCAGGTGATCATTTTTTGGGTGGCCACGACTTTTGGGCTGCCATGACGAAAGATGGACCAAAGATGGGAACCCCCTCAGTTGCCCCAGCTTGGACCCAGAAAAAGAAGAAGAAAAAAAAAGGTGCTCGGGTTGCCTGGACGAAATCTGGGCTCCCGTGGCAAAACCAGTTCAGGTCATTTCGATGCCAACCGATTCGGGGATCGAACCAGGCGGACCGAGCGGGGCTCGCGGCTCGCTTTGGCCGCCGAGGCTCCGAAGGTAGGCCTCCGGGGCAAAGGAGTCGCGAAGCAGGCGGCAGGCACAGGTGAGGAAGTCCATAAGCTCAGCGCCTGAGAAAAGCCGAAAGGGTCTGAAAGTTGAGGGGTTCCCTCAAATAGAGGCAGGCTGAGTCAATCCTAAGCCTTTAAAGGATTTTCTGGAAGTTGAGGGGTTCCCCGAAATAGCCACCAAAAGGGGTTGCTGAATGGCAATATCCAAATATAAACGCCTTTGAGAGAGCGACTGGCAATCAATCGAGTTTGACAGACTGACAATCAGTTAAAGGTTTCTTGAAAGTTGGGGAACCCAGAAATAGTTGGCTTCTCTTGAAGCAGCACAAAGTGGTACCCGCCCTCAAAGCAAAAAAATGGGAGCATCCAAAAGTGGCTCACACCTTCTCACTTCCGATCGAGTGGATTGGCCAAACAAAGTCTAAACTTTGTTTGTTTGCCACTAAAATGGTCCCTAAAAAGTTGTTCAAGGCCAGGAACTCAAGGAGTGCCTTTGAGAGGACAACAAACAAATCGATGCAGGTCTTCTTCGAAAGTTGAGGGATTCCCCGAAGTGGCGGGCTTCTCTTCAAACAACACCAAGGGGTACTCTCAGAACAAGGTACAACTATACATCTGGCTGGTGATTGGGGAAAATGGTCATTCATGTCCTCATACACGCGATCCGACCCGACAAAGAACAGCAAGTGATTGGTTCCAACCAACGTTGAAACCCAGAACAACTGCTGTGTCCATGTTCAAAAGGTCCCTTGAAACCGACCTGGTTCGGCGGAAAGAACTGGATTCCCCCAAGCGCCTTGGTCGCAGAGCTTGGGTTAAGACCCGGGTGCTTACCTTTTTAGGATTGAGGGTGCTGCATCTGGGACTGGTATAGTGTGCAGGAATCACCCACCACAGGCAACTTGAACAGTACTGAGAGTAGGTGAGCGCGGGCAAACGTCCAAAAACCCACCTCTTCAGAAGCCTCCTCGCCTCTTCAACACCTTTCTGGGTGGCCACTTGTTTGGACATACTTGCACCCCTGCTCGGCCCACAAATGCCTTAGGATCAACTGCCAAGAGTAAAAACAAACAATTGGGTTACACCAGCTGCCACCCCGCCCCAAGGAGCCACGGTCAAAATGACTCGTCTCCCCAAGACGTCACAGGAACATTTGTGATTTTCCTTGTTGGTCCCCCATCTCTACACAATGGAACGGATGCTCGGACCAAACGGCATATTGTATATGTGCCCAAAAAATGAACCCGCTAAAATTGGATTTGGCCTTCCTTTAAACCAACTGGAAAGGGATACTCTCAAAAACACACCTCATATGGGTCCGTCTCAAATAGGGGGTTGTCAAAAAAAACCGTCGTTGTTCCTTTGCAATTCCCTTGAAACCAGCCAAAAACAGGGATACCATTGTACGAGCACCCCCCCCCCTCCGGGGGGTCGCCCAAAACAAGACCAACCCGTTTCGGTTGGCATGCTTTCAGGCAAGCCAAGCAAACCATTTTGGAGAGACCGATTCCATGCTTGGAGAAACACACAATGGTGTCCTTGCGGTTTCCCTTTGCAAGCCTAGCAAGCCACATTGTTTTGCGATTTCCCCCGAAGCTAAACATGAACAGAACCAACAAAACACGACAACCGTTTCCCTTTACAACCCTTGGCATGTTAGCAGGCCCCTGAACCTAAACAAGAACAGCAAGAACCCAACCAAACAAAAAAAGCGAAGAAACCAAAAAAACAACTCGCAACTTGATCCAGGCGTGAAGTTCCCTGAAGCCCTCCCCCCATGCTTTTTTTACGCTCAAAAAAGGAAAAGCCGTGGGCCCCCCCCCCCCCCCCGGCCCCCCGGTCCCCTCAGCTCAGGCTCTGGACAGAGTGTCCCCGGAGCAGTGCAGGCCGTAGCGCGCCATCAGGGCCTTCCACCAAGCCACGTAGCCCTCCTCCTCGCGGCTCGGGTCAAAGCCGGAACCACCCAGCTGGCGGTCTCTTTTGCTCACGTCCGGAGTGGATTGGCCAACAAATGCAGAAAACAACTCTGCATTTGCCGCTAGAATTTGGACTTCCCAAAAAGTGACTCAAGTCCAGGAACTCAGAGAGTGAGTGTCTTGTCCCTGTAAGACGCACAAACAACAAGTACCAACTGTTTCACCCACCCATTTCGAGCCACAGGGCCACTAAATGGTCGCTCTCTGTTTTTTTCTCCGGTACAGTGGGGGACCTGACCCGAAGTTGCAAATCATGGGAACCCCTGCGCTCATACACCCCGGACTCATAGACCCAAAGCAAACTATGGCCCCCAAGAACTGCTTTTTTGGACAGTACTTGCAATTTTGGACATGAGAAAAGCAGTTGTCGGGGGGTGGGGGTGCTTGGTGCTTTTTGATCAGGAATTCCTAATTCGAATTCCGGCAAACTGGGTAGGTCTCAAAGGAAGGGGCCTGTTATTGCCTCTCCGTTTGAAAAAGTCATCCAAGCAGGGTGTTCCCTTTGTGGTTGCATCCTTTCACTTCCGATCGAGTGGATTGGCCAGAAGTCTAAACTTTCTGTCTGGTAACTCAGGGAGGCAGAACCCAAACCTTTGGGCTTTGCCTTGTGCTTTCGCCAATAACTTGCTTGACGTTGTAAGGGGAGCAAAAATGTTTTTTAGCAGTTCAGTGGATTGGGATTTCAACCACTAAACCACAATCAGCAAAAATGTTTCCAATGGTTCCCAACCCATGATCATGAAGCCGCAAAGAAAAACACCCGGCAGGTTTCACACTCTAAAACCTGAGGACTCCGCGGATTTGGAAGGTGGACGTTTGGTGTCCTCGTACTTCCCCCCCCCCCGGTTGTGCTACAACGTTATCGTCCGTCAGTCAACGACACACCTTTGGCTCCGATGCACCTGAACAATTTGAATGGGTGTGTGGGATGAACTCAAATTACCTTATGATAGGAAAGAAAGGCTCAAGGCGGGCTCCTTGAAGGATACATCCAAAAGCCGCGTACTTTACAAGAGAATCCTCCAAAATGTGTTTTATTCAACTGACCCAAATGCCTGTGTCCTTTAAGGTGCGCCATTTGCTTAGCAGGTCGCCATTTGCTTAAGCCCCCTGGAGACCAGCAAAGGCAAAATCATCTCACTCCCTGAATGTATTGGGAAAAGTCCGAGCGTCTCACACTGCTGAAATGTTTCAAGCACAAAAAAAACGAAAACCAAAAACTCAATCGAGTCAACCACTGACATGGTGCAATTGACAAAAAGTAAAAAGAGTCCATAATGTTGGGAGGCAAGCTTCTAGATTTCCTCAAACAAGTGGGTATGGGTCAAAATTAAACCACCAGGGGACCGCAGGTTTTAGTCCATGTTTCCATTTGCCATAGTTCCATTTTGGGTACCCTCCCTCCCACTAACATGGCAACTGACATGGGGTCATTTCAAAAGGAATTTAATCTTCCAGGTACCTCCCCACAGGTGCCATGTTCGTCGGAGGAAGGGAAATTACCTATTTTTGGCCCACAGCCAAAAATGGTTTGGTGCATCCGCACCTAACCCATCTCTCCGAACCGATCTGATCCGATCCTGCCTGTTGTTTCCTCTTTGACCAAAAAGTCTAAAGACCATAATATCTCAGGAAGTGAGCTTCTAGATTCCCTCAAACCAATGGAAGTTTGGTGTATCTCGCCTCACCCATCTTTCCAGAGATCCGCCTCACCCAACTCTCCACAAATCCGATCCGATCCGACCCGATCCCAATTTTTGATTCGATGCGGGCCTTGCCCAGGATCTGCCAAAAGGCCTCCTCCTTGAGCTGCCCGGACCCCGAGAGCGTGCACGCAATCATGCCTCGACGGGACACGACAAGGACCGCCGTGCCACGGATGGCATGCAGTTTGCGCGCCTCACTCGTCGGTTGGTGGTAGATGTGCTCTTTTCTTTTCAGGGGAACTGATCTTAAACTTGGGGGGAGGGGGGGAATAATTTGGGAACACCGGATTGAAGCAAAGGAACCAAGAGGGAATAGGTTCAAGCAGGTGCAATTTGCAACATACCCATTCCGGACCCATTCCGGACCCATTCCGGACCCATTCGGGACCCATTCCGGTATCAAGCAAGCGGAATCCAGGAATATGTTGCTTGAAAAACACTAGTTGATCCTTTAAGGGCTGTCCCCAGTCGCTTTGGAGGGGGACACCCCTATAGAAATAGGACGGCTGATTAATCAGGGATCAACATTACACCCAACATGTGTGTTTTCTTCCCGACCGTTCGGTGGTTTCCCATCGAAAAACAAAAAAACATACCTTTGACAGCGTTGGCATTTTCTCCAGATTCTGATTGGATCACCTCTCCCCCCCTTTGTGTCCAAAATCCCAAGCGCAAACCTCAAGCAAAGTCTCTTCGAGGCCAGCTTTCGAAAAAATTGGGTCAGTGCTTGTAGCTGTGCAAATGAAATATGTACAGGAACAAATGCCGGGAACCTCAAATAGAAACAATTTCTAGCTTTTTGCAGTTGTTCTGCCTATTTGTTTGTTTAGGCGGAAATTCCACAGCATGAGCAGAAGCGCAGCTTGTTTTTGCATGTTTCAACCAGCCCCGGTGGCAAAGCGTTACGAATGATGATGGGTAATTGGGGGGAAATGAGCGAAAGTCTGCGGGAAATACACGCTTGTGTCGAACATATTTCTGCCTATGTGGAAATACGTATATTTCCGAGTATCCAGGCCGGTATGCGCAAAATACATACATCATATATATATATATATATATTATCGGTACATGTATTATCAATCAAATGCCATACAGGTATGAGATTGTGAAGAATGGCGACGATCCATGAGGCTGCAGGCGTAGATGTCGATAGCCCTTCATGCTAGCTATTTGTTGCGTGTTGTCTCAACATAAGAGGCCGTTGTTTGCTCGTCGGGTTCACTTTGAAACCAACAAAATGGGGGGGGGGTTCCAGAATGCCCCTTTCGCAAATATGGCCAAACCTGGTTGCTGAGTGAGTTAGCTAGAAAAGTTGGAGCTTTCGGCCCACCCGCGACATCAGCAAACGCGTAAGATTTGCTAATTCAACGGCTAGTCGCACTTGGTCCAGAAGTCCATGCCCGTCAGGCAGTCAAAAAGGCGAGGCTTGCAAAGACCGGCTTGAAACAGGCATCCAGTTCAGCGACTCTGAAAAATACGGAATTGGATATGCCTTTTTCCAGCACCCCCTGGCCCCCCAACAACTGCTTTGCTGAAACCGTCTTCGCGAGCGAGCAATCCAAGCTCGTCGACGCAGATAGGGCGGGTTTATTAATCTGGGGTCAACAGTATAGACTGACTTTGTGCTCCAGCAAACTATGGACCCCCAACAACTGCTTCTCACTTGCCCAAAGGACCCATCAATAAAAGGTTACCCTTTTGGGACCCCTACCAAAAATAGACCAAACAGGGGTTTCTCCAAAAGGTCAAAAAGTTGAACTGAGGCTTTTTGAGCAGCACGTCCGGTTTCCGGTTTACTTCGGCCACGGTTGCGCGCCAAGGTCTGCACTGGGCGCATCATCGCCAGGTCGTCCCAGCGCAGCTCGCCGCGGCGCTGGGAGCGGCGATGCAGGTCCTGGGAGACCTGCGGCCGCGCGGGCGGCGCGACGTGGGATCGCGGGGTGCGCGAGGCCCCCCTGTCCGAATGGTTGTGACAGAAACTCTTGGTTGCTGCAACAGCCCCCCTGCAAAAAGTGGATCACTTTTTGGGGGTCTTGTGGAAAACCTAACTTGATTTCAACCAAAAACTTAAAGTCTAAAGATCCGTTGCCCAATAGCGTCAAGAACTGGAGAGTGAAAATGTGGCCGCACACCTTCCTTCAACGGCCTTTAAACATCTACGAAATCGACGTGCATTTCCGCGGGGGCGTGTGCGTGCTAACCGAACTTTGTAATCAGGGGAAGCTAAGTGGACTGGTTGTCCGAGCCTGCTCCAGGACTGACGGCTCGTTCACCGCCGCGCAGAACCTGGGGCAAACATCCAGCCGCTCTTTTCTCGCCGATCGCGCGAAGCAAGATGGAAACCACAAGCCGCCTTGCTTTCCTGGTGGCACGGGTCTCAGGTTCCTTAGCAAGGCGGTTGTTTCCAGAACATGCGCCAGCACCCCCCAACAACTGCTTCTTGAACAGTACTGGGACAAAAAAACAGCTGTTTGGGGGGGGGTGCTGGCTAGAACCAAGGTTCTGGTCCCAGGGTAAGGTTCGCACCGGCCACAGTTTACTCTCCCAGCAAGCATGGCTTGTTGCACAACCCACACCATGTTGGTCTGCGGCTAAATGAGGCAAAACCCGCGCTACACAAAGTTCGAAGCTTGCCTATCAAGATTGTGAATTTCTCTGAAAGGTGTTTCTTTCAGGCCCAGAAAAGGTTGGCGCCCTCCAAAAGAGGGCGCGCCGTTTTTCAGCCCACCTGCACGTGAACTCGCTCCGCCGGGAATTTTGTTCGGGCGCCCCGGCAGTTCGAAGAGGGCGATGCTGACATTGGCCGTGTTGGAGGGGCCCAGAGAGGCGGCTGCGCCCTTGGACCGCAAGTCCTCGCGTTTCTCGGGTTTTTTCGGGCCTAGGGTGCTGGGAGCCAGAGAAGGGGGTTGATTTGTCGGAATCCGGACCATATCCTATCAGATCTTATCAAGGTGGTCCCATGTTAATATTGTTTGACTGAGTCAAGCAGGACGAAAAAATCAAGGTCCTCCGGATTCATGTGAGTCAACATTAATCTCGGTTATCCTTTAATCGCACACGCGGTGTTCCTGGACACATATTTGTGTTCCAGTGGTATAGATATGTGTGTCCCACATGTACACACACGTGTGCCTTAATTGCACGTGTTTGTGTTCCAGGTGAACACACGTGTGGTCCACGTGTACGCACATGTGTGTCTGAATTGGAGTTTCATTGTGTTCCAAGTGAATATGTGTGTTCCACGTGAACACATTAGCGTGTCGTAGGTGAACACATATGTGTGTTCCAGGTGTACACATGTGTGTGTGCCTTACAAGAAGCACACGTTGTTTTTCCAGCCCGAGACATGTACGCGTGTGCCGCAGGTGAACCCAAGTATCTAAAGGCCCTTCCGGGAAGGGCTGCCAGACAAAGGACCCCGCAGGAAGGGCCGTTCTGTTTTCAATGCTTTTCGGGTCTTGTGGGAGCCCGCTCAATCCTATCCGGCTTGGTGGAACTCAAGCTGAAAGACTGTTTCTCACTTAGCCTACCGAAATGCACTCAACTGCAGCTTTCTGCCCCCTGCGACGTAAGCGCAAATGCGAAGCTCGAATCACCGTGTACTTACTGGGATAGGGTCGTACTTATAACTTGAGTTATAAGTTACTACAAGTGGACTTATAACGTGGGACAAGTGGACTTATAAGTTTGCTAAGTCCGAGGATAGTTATAAGTTACTTGTCTATGTTTAACTTAGATAGGCCCACTTATAAGTTCGAGCTAAGCTCCGGGTGCCGGGACTTAGAATGAACTTAGCTGGGACTTAGCTTTTTAGCACCATTTGAGGAAAACAGCCTTCGGTCATTCAGCGCTTGCGAAGCAATGTCCCAAACGCGTCTACCTCGCTGAGTCTACGTGTCTGCCTGCGTGCGACAAAGCACGCGTGCGCTACCCCTGACATGTTGCGGACCACATCGCTGAACGAGAGAGAAAGCATGACACCGGACTACGCGCGTGCGCATCATTTTTCGAGACGTACGGTCGCTCCCGGCTAGACCGCGCAGGGCGAAACACGGCGTAGCGGCGGCGGGGCCGCTTCCATGTTTGGGAAACACATCGCGGCAGGACCGCGCAGCGACCATCGCGGCAGGACCGCGCAGTGAGCCATCGCGGCAGGACCGCGCAGCGAGCCATCGCGGCAGGACCGCGCAGCGACCATCGCGGCAGGACCGCGCAGCGACCATCGCGGCAGGACCGCGCAGCGACCATCGCGGCAGGACCGCGCAACGACCATCGCGGCAGGACCGCGCAGTGAGCCATCGCGGCAGGACCGCGCAGTGAGCCATCGCGCATGCAGTTTACGCTGTTTGTTCGCGCTGCTTCGCACGCTTGGCTCGATGGAGCCGGAGCATTTTTTGCACTGATTGACTCGGTTTAATTTTGTTGTCCAATAATCGTTTCTATAGCGGTGTCTCCGCTGGCGGCCGGTCCGCCTTCATATAGTCGCATGGGGTGGTTTCTCCGCCGGCGGCCGGTCCGCCCATTTTGCTTTTCTCGTTTGATGATATATCATTGTAGCGGTGGTTCCGCTGGCGGCCGGTCCGCCAAGCTTTTTTTGCCACGTTCATTTTCATTTCGAGATGGCACTTGAAGCGGTTGTCCGCTGGCGGCTGGTCCGCCCAGGAATTGTTCGGCGTGATTTTTATTTCGAGATGGCACTTGAAGCGGTGGTCTGATGGCACCTTGCGATTTTTTGCATGTTTGGATTGTGAGTGCGCGGGTGAAAGGCTGCAAGGCTCCAGAATCCAGACTGCTGACTGCAAACTCCACACTCCAGACTGCAGACTCCAGACTGCAGACTCCAAACTGCAGACTCCAGACTGCAAACTCCAGACTCCAGACTGCAAACTCCAGACTGCAGACTCCAGACTGCAGACTCCAGACTGCAGAGTCCAGACTGCCAACTCCAGAATCCAGACTGCAGACTCGAGATTCCAGATTCCAGACACAATGACTCCTGGCTCCAGGATCCTGATCATTTTGTGGTGGAATTCGGCCACGGGGCCAAGTTAAGTTATGTTAAGTCGTGGTGACGCAACTGGGCCTCACGGGGAAAGTTTGGCAGTTAAGTTGATTGAGTTACAATAGGGACTCCACGGCTCCACACGACCCGCCCAGGTTAAGTTAAGTTAAGTTTTGTTAAGTTCGAAAAAACTGCACCGGCCTTTCCGGGCTTTGGGGCGGGGCTGTCTGGATGCTGGATTCTGGGGTCTGGACTGTGAATTCTGGAGTCAGGAGTCTGGATTCTGGAGTCAGGAGTCTGCAGTCTGGAGTCTGCAGTCTGGAGTCTGCAGTCTGGAGTCTGCAGCCTGGAGTGCAGTCTGGAGTCTGGAGTCTGCAGTCTGGAGTTTGCATTCTGGAGCCTGGAGTCTGCAGTCTTGATTCTGGAGTTGGCAGTCTGGAGTCTGGAGTCTGCATCGGGAGTCTGGAGTTTGCAGTCTGGAGTCTGCAGTCTGGAGTCTGCAGTCTGCAGTCTGGAGTCTGCAGTCTGGAGTCTGCAGTTTGGAGTCTGGAGTTTGCACTCTGGAGCCTGGAGTTTGCAGTCTGGAGTCTGCAGTCTGGAGTCTGGAGTTTGCAGTCTGAAGTCTGCAGTCTGGAGTCTGCAGTCTGGAGTTTGGAGTTCGCAGTCCGGAGTCTGCAGTTTGGAGTCTGCAGTCTGGAGTCTGCAGTCTGGAGTCTGCAGCCTGGAGTCTGCAGTCTGGAGTCTGCAGTCTGGAGTCTGGAGTTTGCAGTCTGGAGTCTGCAGTTTGGAGTCTGGAGTCTGCAGTCTGGAGTCTGCAGTCTGGAGTGTGGAGTTTGCAGTCAGCAGTCTGGATTCTGGAGCCTTGATTGAGTCTTGCAGCCTTTCATCCGCGCACTCACAATCCAAACATGCAAAAAATCGCAAGGTGCCATCAGACCACCGCTTCAAGTGCCATCTCGAAATAAAAATCACGCCGAACAATTCCTGGGCGGACCAGCCGCCAGCGGACAACCGCTTCAAGTGCCATCTCGAAATGAAAATGAACGTGGCAAAAAAAGCTTGGCGGACCGGCCGCCAGCGGAACCACCGCTACAATGATATATCATCAAACGAGAAAAGCAAAATGGGCGGACCGGCCGCCGGCGGAGAAACCACCCCATGCGACTATATGAAGGCGGACCGGCCGCCAGCGGAGACACTATATAGAAACGATTATCGCACAACAAAATTAAACCGAGTCAATCAGTGCAAAAAATGCTTCGGCTCCATCGAGCCAAGCGTGCGAAGCAGCGCGAACAAACAGCGTAAACTGCATGCGCGCGCGCCTCTGCCCTGCTGCGTTGAGTCACACGAAAATGTGTGATTTCCAGCGCGTAATGCTTCATCACTGCCATGCTTCAAAACGCATGTGTTTGCAAACTCAATGAACTTAGAATGAACTTAGCGGACTTAGAAAAACCTCTTTTCTAAGTTCAAGATAAGTTACTTATAAGTCCAAGCTAAGTGCTAAGTCACTTATATCTCCAGGGTAAGTACGACCCTATCCCAGTAACAGTGCTGCTAGCTATTTTGCGTGTGTCAAACTGGCCACATCGTGGTGCTCGTTGCAGTGGCTTTCATTCAGACAAAGCAAGGCCAGACAATGAAACTGAAATCTCAGAACCCACCATTCATGCTAAATCACGCTAATTTCACGCTCTGGAGGGTCCTTTCACGCGCTCAAAGGTCCTTCTCACGCTAATTCACGCAGATTTCTTGCTCGCCGATTTGACAACTTGATGTGTCCAAACCACGTCATTGCCATTGTAAGATGCAACAGGTGATGCCCTTGTCTTTGCGTTTCTCCAATGTGTCCTGTGTGCCGGAGTAGTGTCCGAATTAGGACTTTCATTTTGCGCCTTGCCCCAAGTGCCCGGATTTGAGCGCAGGCCTCAAACTTCATTGTCATCTAACCTTTCCAAGGAGTCAATTGCAAAGTTCATGAAACGCATAATTTCCGCCGACTTGCCAGCAAAGCATGCGCGCACACACCTCCCAGGAGGTCCTTTGTAAAGGACCCTCCTGGGAGGGCCGTTGACAGCTGGGTGAATGTATGTGTGTGCTCACAGGTGCACGTCTGCGCGCGCCGCGTGTGCTGTTTCGGTCGTACACATATGTGTGTTCCACATGTACGCACACATGTGTGTCTGAATTGGACATGTGTGTCTGAACTGCCCATGTGACCGCGCGCTTGCGCAGCCCCACTTGCGTTCACGCGCGCGCGCACTCGCCCGCTATCGCACGCGCTTGCCCAACCTCAGTTCCTGCGCGGTGCTGAAGCGCGAAGCACGCCAGCAACACACGTGCAGCAACGCAACGCGTGCCGGGTTCACGACTGCATCATTTTGATTCATCCGGCCCGTCAGTCCTCAACTGTTTGGGGTCTCTTTTGTAAAAACAATTTCTAGTAGTGATAGATTCCTTTTAAAACCAACAGGGTCTGAAAATTAAATACACATATTCATTTCAGCAAATGGATGTTCACACTGCGAAGGTCCTCAACTGGACCCCGTGGCCAGTCCTGCAGGAGCTGCTGCTGGTTGCGCTCCGTGGGATCGCGGGGCGCGCCGTTGGGGTCCCTGGAGCAATTGGTTTACTCCCCAACCAAGGGCTTGCAAGCTTGGTTGCTGCAACGACCCCCCTGCAAAAAGTGGATCACTTTTTGGTGGGTTTTGTGGAAAACACAACTTGATTTCAACGAAAAAGTTAACATCTAAAGATCCAACCCAATAGCAGTCAAGCAAGGGGCGATTTGGCAAGGGGTAAAAGGGGAGTGAATACAGAAAAAAAAGCTCAAAATTATTCACTCTCCTGAAAAGCAAAAAGGGCAGGTATTACAGAAACAAATCTGTCCGAAATCCCGAAAATATGTTCCCTTCCAAGAATGGACTGTTTTGAGGGTTCAAACGTCTGAGTCCAGCCAGAAATGTCCAGAATTTCTGGATTGCGTCCTGTCCCAAACCACTAATTTCCTTATCAATCCCTTTACTAGAAGATGCACCCTGACAAATTTTCAAGAGGGTGGCACACGGAACCCCCAGGAAGGCAATAATGCAGTTTGTTTAAGGGTAGGGAATTGTGAAAAAATGGCCAGGGCAGCCTGCCAAGAAGAAGAACCAATACTAAACCAATTCTAAACTGTAGTGAGTCAACTGAACAGAATACTGAACTAATACTAAACCAATTCTAGACCGTAGTGAGCCAGCTCAAAGGAATACTAAACCAGTACTACACCAATTCTAAACAATACTTACTGGAAGACTACTCAGGCAGGTCGGGGGGGGTGGGGGCCCTTTATTAATCACTCTCCAACATTACTCGATTACAAGTACTCGGACGGCCAAATCACGCTCCAAAGCACCAGGCTCCAAGCCACTTGGAAGGAAGCTGAATGTGGACAGCTTCCAAAGGAAGCACGTCTCTCATCGAACTCTTTCCCCTTTTTCCCTATCCTCATCCCCAATCCTTTTTCCCTATAGGTGAACTGAAATGAACGTAAAACACCGGCCTTGAGCTTGTTGGATGCACCGAATCCCTATTTTGATTCAATTGAGACGGCACATTGGCAAGGGGTCCCTTCAGAATGCGATTACGAAGAGTCTTGGCGACCTTTGGTCGAATCGGTGAAAAGTGATAAAACAAAAACAAACCTGTTCCTACCAGCCCCCCCCCCAAAAAAAAAGAGGACTTTTTGTGGTCTCCACGACACGGCTTGTGAGCAGCTCTGAACCGCCCCATCTTGGTATCCCATCTTTGATGGCCCGCGCTGCCCCCAAACATGCGGAGGCAACGCCCGGGAGAAAAACCCTGGGGGGAACACGGCAAAGACTGCCAAGGTACTGCCCGTGCCTCACTTCTTGGGCAGGCGGAACTTCAGCAAATTCAGGATGAGGATGGCGAGCACAATCGAGGGGCCAAAGGCTGCAGCAAGAGCAAGACGCTGCGATGGACCTTGAGGATTGCTGACGCCCAGCCAGTCAGCAGCACGTGGACCAAAGACCGCATAGATGCAGCGGCCGGGCAAGAATGCGGCTTGGTAGAAGCTGGGCAGGTACTGCCGGAACCGGGGTCCTGCCAGTTCATCCAATATCCAGCTGCTGTGCGCGCTGGCCACGACATCATTGACGACAATGTTGCCGGACAAAGTGTACGGGTTGTAGAGGCCCAAACGGGGAACCATGGCTATGGCCATCACTTGAGACAATCGACTGGATGTTCCGCTCACCGTCCACACGTAGTTGCCCGTTTTCACATCTGAGGCATACATCGACCTGGCGCTGGCCCAGGTGCATGGCAGGGTGAGGCAAACATGGAGGAAGTGGTCCGGCGACAGCTCAAGCTCGGAGGTGTTGCTAGGGCTCAGCTGAAGCTTCACATACGGCGCCCATTGCTCTTCCGCATGCCCGAAGAAGTAGACCTCGTCGAAGATCAGGTTGCCCTTGCTGTCGGCCGCCAGCACACGGTCACCTGCACGCAAGTCTCGCATGGTCTTGAGGCCCTGAGGCGTCCTTACCAGCGCGTGCGAAGGGAAGCAACCACCACCGCTACTCGGGCACTTTCCCTTCAAGTTGCGTTGCCATTGACCTTTCTGCCAAATATCCCAGGCATGGCACCATCCGCCGCTGACACTCGCTCCAAAGCCACCCCCTGTCTCGAGCGACTTCCCAATTTCCTTGCCCGAGGCCTTGTCAAAAAGGAACTCTCCTCCAATGCACACGAAGAAGCAAACTGATGCGCCAGCAAAGTAACACTCCCCTTTGGTGTTGCTGAAGCTGTAGAAGTAGCCGTGAGCCACAGTCACATCAATTCCAGCCCCAATCTGAACACCGCCGCAGACCTGGTTGGTCAAAAAAATATGCACCCAAAAGTGGCTTGCCCTGGTTTTCTGGAAAAACCTGGACATTTTATCAACCTGCGGTTGCTTTAATTGGATTAACAGCTGAACCCCACCTCCTGCAGCTGTCCCCACTTGTACTCGCAGTGATTTCCGCTCCAGCGGTTGTAGCCCTCCACAGCTATGGCGCTGGTGCCTATGGCGATGCCCATCGCTGCCGTCACCCCAATCTGGGGAGAAAATCCAAGGCCCGCCCGGTGACCCCCAGTGAAAGGGACCCAACCACGAAAATAGGCTCCAAAATGGGTGGTGAATTCACCTTCCAAACCGGGATCCCAAAACGGCTTTGAAATAGGTTCTAAAATTGGTGAATTCACCTACCAACCAGACTGGGTTTCGAAATGAATTCTAAAATTGGTGAATTCACCTACCAACCAAACTGGGATCCCAAAGCGGTGTTGAAAATAGGTTCTAAAATTGGTGATTTCACCTACCAACCAAACTGGGATCCAAAAACGGCTTTGACATAGGTTCTCAAATTGGTGAATTCACCTACCAACCAAAGCGGGATCCCAAAACGGCTTTGAATAGGTTCTCAAATGTGTGAATTCACCTACCAAGCCGGGATCCCAAAACGGTTTTGAAATGGGTTCTCAAATTTGTGGGAATTCAGCTACCAACCAAACCGGAATTCCAAAACGGGTTTGAAATAGGTTCTCAAATTGGTGAGAATTCAGCAACCAACCATGGGATCCTAAATCGGCTTTGAAATAGGTTCTCAAATTGGTGATAATTCAGCTACCAACCGAACCAGGATCCCAAAACGGTTTTGAAATGGGTTCTCAAATTGGTGATAATTCAGCTACCAACCAAACCGGAATCCCAAAACGGGTTTGAAATAGGTTCTCAAATTGGTGAGAATTCAGCTACCAACCAAACCGGAATCCCAAAACGGGATTGAAATAGGTCCTCAAATTGGTGAGAATTCAGCTACCAACCAAACCGGAATCCCAAAACGGGATTGAAATAGGTCCTCAAATTGGTGAGAATTCAGCTACCAACCAAACCGGGATCCCAAAACGGGTTTGAAATAGGTTCTCAAATTGGTGAAGTCAGCTACCAACCATGGGATCCCAAAACGGTGTTGAAATAGGTTCTCAAATAGGTGAGAATTCAGCTACCAACCAAACCGGGATCCCAAAACGGATTTGACGACGGCCTCATAGGTCCGGGCATTGCCGTCGCAGCAGGTGGACTGCCGGTGGTTCAGCCGCCGCCGCCGCCTTCGGCGGCGTCGGCCCCCCTTGCCGGCCACGCTGCGGTCCAGGTGCATGGACAAAGCGCTGAAACCCTTGGTGGCCGCAACTTGCGCCCCCCTGCAAGAAGTGGATCACCTTCTTGGGCGGTGTAGTTCGGAAAACACACCCACTTTTGTCCAGCCGAAAAGCCAAAGTCTCAAGATTAAAGCCGATAGCAGCCAAGACGCCTTCTTCCGAGGCGCGGCAAGGGCCACGCTGGAGTTGGACCATTGGGAGCGCTGGTGAGAGAAGTGCGCAGCTCGGTGAAACAAGGCGGCCGACAGGGCCCGCGTAGTGCTCACATAGGTTGGCTCTGGGGGCTCTGTCAGGACTGGTAAGGGCTTGCCTAAGATGGGGCAAACTTCTGCCAGAAATCCCGTGAGGTTGTGGAAGTCCGCAAGGGGGATCTTGACAAGGCGCTCCAAGGTCAGCTCGCACTCATCAGCTCCAACCCCGAAGAGCGCGTCTTGTCCTGTCTCTTCGTTGTGCAGCTTCGTCTCCTCCAAGCAGGCAGTCATGAAGGCTTGGTCGAAGTGCTGCTCGTGCATGATGCCCGGCCACACGTGCTTAGTGCCCAAGAACTCGAAGTGGGCGTGCGAGATGTCCTCCACGTAGCGCATGCACTCCGGCTCTTCGTCGATGGGCAAGACCAGGTCGATGAGCACCGCGCAGAAGCCTTGCGGGCTGCTGAGGGACTCGCCGCCAAGCAATCGGAACTGCACGTCCATGTTGTAGACCACCCGGTCGCACTCTGCCGCCAGTTTGCTTGGGTCCACCGAGCCCAGCGAAGACTCGTTCCCCTCAAAGAGCCCTAGCTTGCAGACCCTGCCGAACGTCTCGATCTGGGTGATGACGGGCATGCTTAGATTGCCGTGATGCCCGACGAACTTCAAGCAACCCTTGTAGAACATGGAGTTGTAGCCGTAGGACTTTTCCAAATCACTGGCCATGCCGTCCACAATGCGTGGAGCCTCATCTGCGCAAGAGAAGCTTCGGCTGCTGTTGAATGCGGTGTCCACATGTAGCTTCATTGCATGAGCAGTCACCCAAAGGAGCGACCACTTCATGGAGGACATACTCATCATGGAGGCGTGGCCCAACATCTGGTACGAATGATTGAGCCACGAGCTGGTGCCCAAAAAAACATAACACGCCGATCCCAGTCTTGGTCCGTTTTAGTCTTCTCCAAGGGCAGTGTGTGGGCTGTTTGATGGTGTGGTGCGGCGGATGCCCTCAAAACTACGGTGAACTCGAGGGGCACCTTGTGCCCTTGCTTGAACTAGGGCCGGGGCATCCATCGAGTCTTTGGGAAAGTCCCAACAGTGTCCCGCCCCCTTTGACCTCGAATTCGGCTTGCCTCGGGCTGGGCGGCACCACGAGCACGCCGGACATGCTCCCCGGGGACCTGAGGAAGCAATTCGAGCACCGGAGGAATGAACCCCGAATCATCCTGAATCAGCCTTACAAACCTGAACACGCAACCCACCCTGGAGCAACATGAATCTCGTTTCCTCTCTGCTGACCGAACATCGGATATTAAGCCGCTGTGGCACGCAAAGCCCGGGTCGACATGCGTCGCCCTGCGTCGCCCTTCGATGATCGGCGCGTCGGCTCGGCGTCTTGGGCTGCGACACGTTGCGGCGGCGGCTGGAGGAGGTCCGCAGCAGCTTGGCGGAGGTGTACTGCGGCGGGGAGGACGGAGGGCTGTTCTCCTGACGGCTCCGGATTTTCCGCACGGCGGCTTTCTGGAGGATACCGACCTTTTGGAAAGCAAGGCCTAAAGGAAGCCACGCCAACTTGGGGGTGCTCCACACCAATTTGGGGGTCCCCTACTTTTGACACACTCTCGGAGACAGCAGCTGCTTTGGAGGTTCCTGTTGTTGAAGGTTGCTCAAGAATGAGGATTTGCGAGATCGGTTTCTGTTTGGTAAAGCTGACGCTGTGAAATGCATGCCACAAGAGGTCCCAGTTGAGGAAGGTCTTTACTCTCTAGGAAGGAGTACGCTTTTTGCAATAAGGGCACCTCCCTCACAAGGCGACTCGTCGCCACTGCGGCGGGCTTCGCGTGGGTTTTTAGGGAGTTCCATGTTCGTCCTGTAGGAAAGAGGAGGTGATGCTCGGCTGGGACTCCAGCACCGACTGCGTCCTCTCCCGACTCGGATTCGGCCCACTCGGCCCACTCGGCCCACTCGTCGGATCCGGTCTGGCCAGGCACGGCAGCCGTGGCGTTGGGCCCGGCCCCGGCTGGTCCGGGGTGGGCGCCAAGGCGATGGGAGAGCCGTGGGCCATCAAAAAGGGGTCCGGCCTTGGCTTCGGAACGAAACCCAAGAACGGAACCCGTGTGCCCCTCACGGCCTGAGATTCTTTGTGGATTTATAGCTGTCTCGAAGCCCTCATCCACACAGAAGGGAGAGAATGGCATTCGAGCTGCGAGTATTCAACACCCTTTGTTCCAGGCATTTGCAACAAAGGCCCCCTTCGGGATTCCAATTTGAGTGGGAAAAGCGAAAAAGGGAATTTCAAGGGCGCCACTAATCAACTGGGATCTGGACCATAAACACAACTGGTGCGAGCTCAGAAAGTCGCTCAATGAAGGGGGGGGGAGTTGATGCAAATAAACAGTGGTCTCAGAGGGCGCCAGGCGCCAATCACAAAGGAGCCAATGAATTTGGCGCGCGCCAGCCTTTGCTTGTGGTCGGTAAAAAGTTGATTTGGGCGTCCGTGTGTTTTTGGGGCCATCCTCAGGACTCAGAATGCGATTTGGGGCTTTCCTTTTGGCTTTCCTTCCAGACCAAACAAAACAGGGATCCTTAATCGCTTCCCCCTTATATAAAACGTCCCTCCCCCCATAATATTAAAAAACAACCCGAGGTTTTTATAATTAGGGGTCCCCCTGTTCATTTGGGAGTAGCTTGGTTTTAGTAGTGGTTATCAGTGGGAATGTGTTCCCCCCTTTCCGGGCACCAAAAACCATTCAACTGATTGTTTTTAAGTAAGGAATTTAAATGGAAGCGGTGACCCTTTTTTTGGGGGGAAACCTCGTGCTTGAGTGTTGTGTGTTTGAGTGTGTGTGTGTGTGTGTGTGTGAGAGTGGGTTCTTGTGTTTGTATGTTTGTGGTGTGTGAGAGTGGGTTTTGTGTTTTTGATGGTGTGTGAGAGTGGGTTTGTGCGTATGAGGGTGTGTTTGATATAGAGAGAGAGAGAGAGAGAGAGAGATGGAGGGAGAGGCAGCTGCAGGGACTGCTCGAGTCTCGCAGACAGCGTAGGCTCAGACAGGTCTCTCGCCCCCTAGTCAGCCAGACAGCAAGGATGTTATTTTGAAGGGAAGTCAGGGCAAAAAAAAGGTACCCCTAATACGGATGATTTGGAGGACGAACGGGAAAATCGGTCAAAATGGGTAGTTTAGAATTGGTTTAGTATTGGCCTATTCTAAAGGTAGTATTGCCGGATTTTTGGATTCTGGAGGAGGGGTTTTTATTATTAGGGCGACCTTTATAATTAGGAAGAAGTGATTACATTATACTGTACACCTGAACATTGCAACTTGTAAACGGCGGTTTCCCTTTATTTTAGTGTTGAAAAAGCAACATGTTTCAAACGGTTGCAAAATGGAGATCTTTTAAGGAGCCCTGCAAAAGGGAGATCGATGCCTAAAAAAGGGCATTCGACTTGCTACATTTACAAAGGCCCCATCGGAGGCTCACAGCACCTGGTACATTAGTGGTGCGAGATTTTGTTTATGTCCATCCACCCTATGGGGGAAAACCCATCCAGGTAAAAGCCAACCTTCTTAAACTTGATTGTTTCAGCCACAAGAAGTTTCAAACACGCTGGTTACCTTCAAGGGAATCGTTGAACCAGGATATGGTTGCTAGAACTCACTTCCCGAGATGGGCCAACCAAAAAGTCCAAACTTGTTCACCACTAAAATGGTCCAAGCACAAGAAGTTTAAAGTCCAAGACTTCGGGCAGTGAGAGAAAGCTTGCAGCTCATCCTCCCACCCTGATCCGCCCAGGCACCACTCCTCCCCCCGACGACTCTGCGGCGGCGACGTCTGCGGCGTGTCTTTGCAGAGCGCCCGCGCCGTGTCGGAGAGGTCTCGGGGTCGCACCCTCCTTAGCTTGCTGGTACGAGAGATGAATGACTACTATAAAACATCCAACTGGTTTCCTCAAAGCCTGGTTTCCTCAACCGGCTTCCAACTGGTTTCCCTTATTCCCTACCGATCGCGCACCAGCAAGTTAGGCGACACAGATGAAGAGCTCGGCTTTGGGCAAGCGAGCTTTTTATTGAGCGTACCCTGGTTGGCTTCGTTTAAAGGGAAATTAGATAGTTTTCACCAATTCTGTGGGTTCCCCTATTTTGAGACAATCTGAAACAAACCCAATAAAGCCCGGCTGAATTCATAGGGGATGAATTTGGCGCGAATCCAGCACAGTTTGATATGTTTAACTCGTTCCCAGTTGGAGATCCTCTAACCAGGGTTCCCACGAATCCTGGGCTCTCAATGCAGTTGGGTGACGTAGAGGGCACGATTCTCTGCTGGTTTAAGCCCCATCACTTACTGACAGAAAGGGAATGTTGCAATCTGCTGTTCATGTCATCTTGGTGAAGGTAGTTGCTTAGCAAGCTAGCAACCCAACAACTTTCTGCAATTGTCGGTATGTTTGCTTGCTCGCCTGCTGCTGGCTTGGCTGCTTGACTTGTTCTTTGTTGTCTGCTTGTTTTCTCGCTTCTGTGTTTGGTTGTGCAAATTGTCCTGTGAATTTAGCTAAGATTGGCTTAGATCAAGTTCCTTCTGTTTGGCTTTTCCGGAGCCCGTGCTAGAAGCAGGAGCGAGCCTTATGCAGGATCCCGGGTTCACGGAATGCATGTCGTGTTGCATGGACCCTTTGGAACCAGTGAGTCAGGGGGATGTAATGCCAATCTTTGAGCGTGCTCCCGTGGCATAGCAACTCACAGAAAACGAATCAAGCTATACCAATCTTCCATTTGCTTAAGTGTCGTGGAACAAAAAATGCAAATTCCTAGCAGTGATAGACTCCCTTGAAAAACCACATGGTTTTCCTGCAGCACCCACCCAGGATACCGACGGGAATGAGCCGCAAAACAAGACACACCAGAACGCTCTACGTGCGGGATGTCATTTACCATCCACCTGAACACAACCTTAGCAGAAAGCGTGGCCCTTTTTTTCAGTGTGCCTAATTGTGGCGAACCCCTTTCCCATTGTGGTTCGTCTCACAACAAAATTAAAAGGAGCTCTCTGTAGCGCGGTCCGAGAACCACACAAAAAATCACCAACTTTGGCGCTGCCTCCCGGGAACCACTTGGGATTGGCCAAAACACCACTTGGGACTGACAACTTGGCGCCAAGTTGGCCCAACCTCGAGGGCACTAACATCCGATTCTCAGATCCTGCTTAGACTCGGGCCTTCGATTAGAACCTGGGGTTGTGTCAAAATAGGGCACCCCAAACACAGTTCATTACCCTTTAGTTTCCCCTTAGCCGAGGGGCCAACAAAAACATGAGAGCACCCCAACCGAAAAGCAAAAACAAGCAAGCAAGCCTCCCAGATTTTCTTGGGAGACCCTCACTTGCCCAGTTTGGACCTTGAAATACACCTGTTGGGACCCAGCGACTAAAAATTGACCTACACAGAAACACCAAAACTCATTTGCCCCTTTGGGACCCAGAACTAAAAGGTGATTTTGGGCCCACTGCAAACGTCAGGTCGATTCGCTTCGGGAACTGAGCACGGATCCGGATGCATCATACACCTGAACATTGCAACTTGTAAAAATGGCTGTTTCCCTTTATTTTGGTGTTGAAAAAGCTACATGTTTCAAATTGGCAAAATGTATCTTTTAAGGAGCCCTGCTGAGACAAGGTCAGATCAAATGGATTGGCTTCAGCTCAGCCGGAGACCTTCTCCCCACTTCAGGTCTCCTCCGGGCGGCTCCTGGGCGCCTGTCCTCCAGGTCAGTGGGCTGGCCGTGCGCTCGCTGGGGCTGCGGTTGTAACCGATCGGCGGCCTCGGAGCGTCGAGCCGACGCATGCGACGCGTGCGACGGGAGGCCGTTCCGATTTCTTGGCCATCCCATCCTGGTCTTCCAGGGGCTATCACTTATTCACCCCCTCAATAAAAGCGAGCATCCAGAATCCCAAAAATGTCCAGGTCCAGGAATCCTAAATCTAAACGAGCTTCTGGTTCTTGGTTGCATTGCCTTTCTTAACACGTGGAGTGCCTGCCCGTGGCGTCTACAAAGATTGGCCACAGATGTAGGTTCTCGAATATGGTGTGCATCGCATCACTTCCAACACTCACCTCCGGAGTTCTCCACCTCTTTTTCAGTCTGATTAGAGGACCCCTTCCATCAGTCACAAAGCACCCCTAGTTGAACACAAAAAACCACTCAAGTCCTACCGTATTTAGGAACGCGCTCCGCACCGAAGGGTAAACTTTACATACGTCCTCAATCCAAAACGCATGGACGACCGCTTTGGAACTTACGGCACATGGGGTGCACAGAAAATAACACATTGTCAGATCTCGCTCCATATTTAGGTCGACTTGCACTACCCTAAAATGTAGCTTTGTTCGGAGGAACTCTTTAAACAGAGCAAATAGGGCCCCCAAAATGGTGGTTGTCGCCTTCCAACCAGCCTGAAAAGCAGTACCTTCAAGGCAAACACCGGATTCCCTTCCCTACAGTGCCCTTTCAAACATCCAACCTAAGAACGGTACACACACACACACACCTGAAAACAAAAGACCAAGTCGCGAGTCTTGGCGTGGAGCAGATTGCCATACCGGGCAGGTGGACATAAGCGTTTCATGCCTCGCCGGAAGCGTGCACCCTGCCCGGCATGATTCTGCATGTTCCATGTCTGGCTGTGGCTCGACAAAATATCCCAAACTAGCACCTTGGTAAATGGAACCAAAGCCTAAAACCTGCGTAACCCTAGCTCTGGAATTTTGAGCCACACCATATGATATGTTAACGGGTCCTCTATAAAGACAAAAAGTAACCCTGCTGAACGCAGACCCCATTTACGAGGCGTGTATCCTGACCGAACCAGTCGGTGGCTAAGCATGGGCAGGTCGAAGCCTACTCCACATGTTGCTCGAACAATCAGGAAAATATGTTTAATTCTGGTGCGTAAGAATGAATCTCAGTTCACTTCCTAAATCTCATTTGCCCAAAGGACCTGAACATAAAAGGTTAACCTTTTGGGACCTCTACTAAAAATAAACCAAAAGGGGAAACCAAAAGGTCAAAAGGTCGGCTTTGAACAACTGAGAAATGGATGGGCACCCCGAAAGTATAAAGTCCAACGAACTCACGGAATAAGAATCACTTTAAGTGATGAGGTTCAGTGGCAGCCCTCGCAAGCAAATCGCTGCCGCTTTTCGAAAATCTGCCAAAGTCCTTTGCTCTGCCGGGCGAATCTTCCGCGTTTCTGGCTTCACCACGCGGTCTTGTGGGTGTCTGACAGTAACCTGGGATGCAAGCAAGCAGTGTTGGATATTTGGAAACGTTACAGTTGTGTGAAAGTAGATGGCGCAACTTCCAATCCCCTTTACTTGCGCAAATAAAGGGAATTTGGAGTCTACTTTTGCCCTGGATACCTTTGGCGGACAAATCGTAGCTGGGGTTTCATGCCCACCAACCATTGTTAAGGGTGTTGCCCCATAAAGGAATGGGCAGGTTGGCGGGAAAACACCAAGCCTATCACCTTGACAAAAGCCCGCAATTTTGTCCGCGAAGAGAAGGCCCCAATGCACATGGGTGTGCTCCAACCCCTCAATCCACCCGTTAAAAATGGACAATTTCCTTGGTCGAGCCAATTTTTGGAAAGCCTTGCCAAGTCTCAGATGCACCGTGGGTTTCCATGGGCAAAAAGGGCATCCTTTCTTAGTTGGTTCCGCCACATTGCTCAAGACCCCACCCCCCAAATCAGGCCGTCCCGCTAAGAGGGGCAGAGGAGTATCTTTAGATTTCTTGGTTGGTTCAGAAGTCCCGCAAAGAGGGGCAGATCGAGTAGATATTTTTCTTGGTTGGTTCAGAAGAAGGTCGGACAAAAGGCCGGAATCCACTGGGCTGGGATAGCTCCGGGTGGCCACCAGCAGCACCCGGTGCTCCGGCGACGTGTTCCGAGTCCCGCAGTGCAGCACGCGGCCGTCGTAGAGCGCGGCCTCGCCCGGCGGCAGCAGGGCCACTTCGGAGCCGGCCTGGGGCGACACCCGCGGCTCGTCTTCTTCGAGGTACCCAGATGCCCGTTGTTTTTTGTTTTGTTTTTTTTGTTGTTGGGGGGGGGGGGGTAGCTTTCAAGAAAACAAGGACAGCCACTCTTTGCGTTGTTCTTTTGTTTTTCTCTTTTTTTGTTGGGGGGGGGCCCGAAGAGGGTCTGTTTGTTTGTGGTAGCTATGTTTTGTGGATTCACAGGAAAAGGAAAACCACCAGTTGTTTTGTTGAGGTACTCACTTGTGTCGTGGTTTTAAAGGGAAAATGAAAGGAGCACCCAAGCTATTTTGTGGGGTCCCCGAAAAAATGACACCCCCATTTGGGTGGGTCTGGACATATATGTGACCGCCCAGAACGGCTTCGGTTTTTCCCTTCCGTTTCCTGATAAGACACAGCCCCAAACGGGTACCAATTTGACATGGAACCCCAAATGCCGCCATTTTTAGGATCTGAAAGTCCATTTGGGAAACGGACACCCTTTTGGGTTTCATGTTGCTTGCTAGAGCAGTAAGTCCCCTAGCTAGGAAAAATGAAAAGACACGTGTCTGTAGTGATCGATTCCCTTTGAAACCAGGGCGAAATAAACGATGTTCATTTCAGGAATTGAAAGTCAAAGGCTACAGTGGATGCGCATCTATTGAAAGAGAAACAAGCTTTTTGTGGTTTCGTATGTTTGTTTTACTTCAAGAGGATCCCCAGATTTCATGAGTGGATTGCCCAACCAAAGAACTCTAAGCTTGTTTATGTTTACCACAACTCAGACTTTTTTCCCGGTGGTTTGGACGCGTGGTTTGCAGGTGTTCCGTTCCCGGAAAAGGATCTTCGTCCAACTGCAAATCTCCAAGCCGCCCATTTCTGCCCACCTGACGGGCTACCCTCCCACTAGCATGGCACGTCCCAAGAGGAACTCTGATCTTCCAGGTACGCTCAGGTGCCATGTTAGTCTTACCCCTTAAAACTCCATTGATTGGGGAAGTTAACCTTTTACAGACATATAGCCCATGTTACCACCAAAAAGTTGACAAGTTGTGATTTTAAGAGGTAAGTAGAGGGAGGAAGGGGACCTGAACACCGGTCTCTCCCCAAAATCGTGATATCCCCACAAGCAACCGAGATCGGAACTCTTGCCAACCGCTGCGAATCCTGGGCGCTGCAGTTGTTACGAACAGAGACTTCCCAAGAGCAAAGAAGCAACACTCATAATGAGGGCTGTGGTGGAATTGGAATCCACTTCTATACAACAACAAGGGCCTCCCAAAGACTAACCCCATCTATATAAAGAAGATTTCCCTTGTATCCCAGAAATGGCTGGATAAAAATTATGGTGATCCCACAACTCTGCTCACCTAGGTCCTCCAGTAGAGAGGTTAGATCAAGGGTACCATTTTTTCTGTAGACTATTTTAGTAAGGGAACCCTTCCAACCAAAAAAGAAACGGTAAAAGTTGGCACCTAGCTGGGCAACCTAGAAGGGGTTCCCTCAACAAGAAGACACACCCATCTCTCTGTAACGACCCTCCCTCTCCAACCCCCCACCCCCAACCCCCCACAACCCCCCACCCCCAACCCCCCACAACCCCCCACCCCCAACCCCCCACAACCCCCCACCCCCAGCCCCCCACAACCCCCCACCCACCCCCAGCCCCCGAGCCTGGCTCAGGAACCGGCCTTTGTCCGCGGAGAAGCGGCGATGCGCCTCCGAGCTGTGGCTGGCCGGCAGAAAGCGCGTGGGGCCCAGGGCTCGTGTCACCTGAGAGGCTCGGTTCTCGGGGCGGGCTGCGGTTGAAATGAGCCACTTGCTCAAAACCCCGGTATTAAAATGGTCGACCGAGAAAAAGCCATGTAAAGAATTAAGAAGGCGGACATCCGTTGGATTGTCCCTTACTAACCTTCATCTACCCGGGTTTTGATTGTGGCTCAAATGGAATCCACTTCTGTGATACAACAGACAGGGCTTCCCAAGGACTATCCCCTCTCATAAGGAGAGATTCTCAAAAGTATCACAGAAGTGGTTGGAAAACCCCGGATCCCACAACCCTGCCCCTTAGGGACCTGAAATACAAGGTTGCGAAACCCCTCCTTAACCAAATCACTGGGCCCCAAACCACCAATTTTTGGGAAGCTGACCTTGGGCACCTGCTGAAATACAAAGTGATGAAGTACAGAGTGACTCACGTCCCGAGTGGCTTGGCCAAAGTGTAGGTCAGGAAGTGAGGTCGACCTTTTGGGACATTTACTGAAAGTGGGCCAAAGGGAAAACGAAAAAGGCGAAACCGTCGGCTTTGGGACAACTGAGAGTTGTAGACCTACAACTCGCAGCCAACGACGCTCCAAAAGCCAGGCTTTGGTGTTGTGTTAGGGTTATACAGTATACATGTCTACATCTGGCAAGCTACTTCTTGACAAGCAGACGGTCTATAAAGCCAGTCAATCACCTCTACAACCAACGCGAGCTGAAAACCATCCCAAGGGATCGATGCGTTGTCTTTCTTTTTGTTTTCCCCCGCGCCTCTTGCAAGGCCACAAAGGCAGTGAACAAAGCCGGACGCTGGGAGCGCACGTCGCAGTGTAACTCCTGCCAAGTTGACTGCCTGTCTGCGCCCATGGTACACATCACACCCGTGTGGGACCCGGACAGAAAGAGGTGATCACCTTTTGGGACCACTAATCGCTAATCGAGGGGAGAACCTCAAAAAGGCCAAATGTCAAAAGGTCGATTACAACAGGACCGTTTGTTGGGTTGCTCGTCTGTGGGGAACCCACACCTCTCAGGACACCAGGCCTGAGAGTAGTTGGTTCCCGTCATACATTTCTCGAACCATGAACCGCTGCCCTTTTACTCCAAAAGTTGTTGGGGAAGGCCCCTTGAAAGCCGGGCCAACCCGGTTGTCTTCTGTGCTCGTCGTCTCTCCAAGGCCGGCTTTTTTTTCCAAGCCTCGAAATCCTTTGTAGAAAGTTGGATTTTAAACATAGGGAAAGCAGTTGCGACCCCTCCCAGTGGCGCGCGTCACTTCCATTGCGGGAGATGACGCAATGATACGAAATTGGATTCCCATCCCCTTGACAAGGACGGTCCTTGGTAACAGAAACTCAGGCGTCACCGAAACTTCCTTAGGCCCTTCAACTGTTGCAATTGACTGGTGCTTTCCATTCAATCTACAACTTTGAGAGCTTCCAACAAGCCAAATTGAGGAAACCCTGACACTTGCCCTCAAATGGGACTCAAAGTCAACCCCCTCCCACGTTAAAGAGCAACACCCCCAGGTGCTGCCTTGCAATAGCCCCAGAAAACAGTAATGACCCTAGGCTAGCCTGCACCTGCTAAAGTGCATTGGCAACAAAAGTTGTCGTTCAACACATGAAAATTAGCAAACAGTTGCCCTCTCTAAACTAAGTGGATAGTCCTAAGAGAAAAGCCCGTGAGTAGTACCAGTAGCTATAACCTACCAAAGCCACGGTTGGATGTAACTATAAGCAGGGCAACCCCTCCCCCCCTCCAAAACCTCTCCCCTACCACCCCCCCGCAAACCTCCAAGCCCCAACGCCCCCCCGCCCCCCCCCGGAAAAAAGAGAGGCGGTCTTCCTCTTGGTTTC